AGGAGTGTCTTTGCTGGAAACATGATAGTCATATGCTTTTCTTTCTCTGTCAGATATCCGTTGCCCAATAATCAGCTTCGATTTTCTTTACGCGTGACACAGCGTTTTTCCAGTTTTCACTTTTTATACTGGGTCATGAGATTTTCAGTTCCACAAACACGTTGAGCGACTTGTTTGCACCATTTTGGTTTTCACAGTATTGCAGTTCTGTTGCGTTAAGGCAACATTGATATATGAGGTAATTTTATAGTATCGGATTTTGTTTTCATATATTGAATCGTTCAAATGGGTGTGTTCGGACAAGTTGAACCAGTTAATTCTTTGCCATTCCCCGTTTGAAACGTATATGTTCCTTCTCTGAAACCATTCCTGAAAATCTCTTTTTCTCGGTGTCAAAGCCGACTTATCATTCCTGAGAGAATAACGTGGAGGAAGTGTCTTAACGGATTGTAGATATTCTGGTGGGAGGTAACACAGTCTCAAACGAAATCGACAAAATTTCGAAGTTCAGTTCGTTTTTGTAATAGCCAGTTTTCGTCTTTCACGTGAAAATCGGGAATACTCCAGGATTGCCCCATAACCAGCATGCACAGTGATTATCGCTGGCCAGTAGTGTCCTCCTTCAGTGCACCATCTCTCGAACTGTCTTGCCAACAGGTGGCTGCTTCGGCTGGATCCACATCTGATATAATGGGGTTCTTCTTCACATCCAGTTTATAGATTTTATTTATTCTTCTGAAACATTGCACTCTTCTCGTTGCAGTTCATTAATTGAACTTCCAACACTTCGCAGAAATTCCTTTGCCTCCAGAAAAAGAACTGATGCCTGTTTTCAAGGTCGCTAAAACGTTTTTCAATGTTGGAACCTCTTTTTCTCGCTGTGTAAAAATTATAATTGTTTGCCTCATTACGCATAAATAACAGTCATCAAATTTAATCCTTTAGAACAGGGTTTGTCTTTATTCCCAGGTTACTTTTAGGTTTGCTCCGTTAAAGCTTTATACGTTGCTGCTTTTGTTGGGGATAGTGGCTTCGCATTTTCTGGTACTTACAGTGGCACGTTTCTCTGCATTTCCGGTTTGTTATATTTTAGATTTCCAGTTTACTTTTCTTCATCGAAAAACTGTATGACTTTGCCGATTGTATCATGACTTCCACCCGTAATAGTGGGTCTTGCTTTGGTTTTTGAATTTGAAGACATAATATAAATAATATTTGCGCTCATATTATTTATGTTGCACTCCAGGAAAAATGATTGCGCATTGTACACTCTGCACAACAATTAGAAGTAAAACAGTAATATCACGCAACGATTGATTGACTCTGTACATCTCCCTCGGAATACACGGAACAGCTTAGTAGTTCGCATGCTTTTCGCACATGAGGTTAACGTAGTCGACTGGGATCTTTTGTGTTCCACTCTGTACGAGAAAGCCGCGTAGTTAGAGCTAAGAAATAGGAATTAACCTCAAACTCCGTGGCCTGTAGTCCGCAAGCAAACTAGACAGACCGAGCGACCGCCGCTTGTCAGCGAAGTTGGTGCTACTCAACATGTTAGAATTATATACAGGTAGTTACGTGATCCCCCCCCCCCGGTTGGTTTTATTTATCCGAGGGCCAGTGAAACTGACAGGTCAGAATTTTCAAACAAATTTGGTTTTGTAAAACTGGCTTATGGGGTATGTGTTAGTTGTTTATAGTCATTCAGCGCCTCCGGAATTTTCCCCTTGCTGCGATAAATGTTTATTTCCGCAAACCTATCTTCTGTTTCAAGGGCAAATATTTTGTTATAATATGCAATGCAACTTAGATGCTCCCAGTTTGTAATTAAAGCACTGGTGTATTCGGATCATTAAATCTTTCGGGTCAGTGTATTTCAAACAAAAAAATCGAATTGATTAGAAAAATATTTATTCAGAAGATTTGTGGGTACATTTTGTATATAAACAAGAACCTGGAACCTGCGGGCGTTGGCACACACGCCGGGTTCGGAGCAAGCAGTTAACCTGTTGTCATCTTTCACCACCCAGAGAAGGCAGGTCAGTTGGCACGTACCCATTTTTACTGCAAGGAAGTAAAACTGTTATATTGAATTTGTAATATATGGAGGTGTCGATATGTTTTTGTGGTACCGTGTAAGTTTTGATTCCTGGGAGTTTAAATTAATATTGGTCCGGATTACCGAGGTTCCACGATACTAACAACTTTACCTGGCGTTGCCTGGCCGTAATGCACAAATATAAGGAAGCCAAAAATGTAACATCTGTTTTAGGCTTTATATTGTGTCCCAGCAAACAACATTACTGTCACGATTCTATTGCCGTCACGACCCAATTTTTCCCTGGGAGATCTTCAGCTCTCATGCTAAATTCAGTTGAAGTAGGTGCACCGGTGTTGAAAAAAAATACATTGCCATCTTTATATATGTAAATTCTTCTATTGCTATGTGTTATTTTAATTTCCATCTAAAGCATATACTAATTCCTTATGTTCAAATTCCATCGACGGCAGTAAGAGGTTATCAGTTGAGTCTGCCAGTCAATCCGTTTTCTGAATGGAGAATAGATTGATGCAGTTGGTGCGAGAGAAACTGAAAATCTAATGAAGACCGTTTCATACCACACAGACTGGCAGTATCGTGAACTATTTGTCTGGAGCTGAGAGCAGCTGAGCAGGTAGGAGTGGGCGAGGAAATTAATAAAGTTGTATGAAATTTCGAAGATTAATATAATTTCGAAATTGAATGAGCCAGTGTAAATAGATCACTCACTCACCCATTCACTCATGGAGCTGAGCCGTTCTTGAGAAGCTGCAATTCTGTAGCTACTCAAGAACTTCCCAGCATTGTATAGAACCCGAAGGTTCATTACCGTGTTCACAAGAGCCATCCACTGGTCCCTATCCTGAGCCAGATCAATCCAATCCATGCCATCCCATCCTGAATCTCTAAGATCCGTTTTAATATTGTCCACTCACCTACGTCTTGGTCTTTCCAGTGGTCTCTTTCCTTCTGGTTTTCCTACCAATATCCTATATGTATTCTTCTTCTCCCCCATTCGTGCTACATGCCCTGCACATCTCATCCTCCTTGACTTCATCATTCTAATTATACTTGGCGAAGAGTAAAAGTTATGAAGCTCCTCATTATGCACTTTTCTTCAACCTCCCGTCACTTCATCTCTCTCCGGTCCAAATATTCTCCTCAGTGTCCTGTTCTGAAACACCCTCAGGTAAAAACAGATCATTTGTTGGAGAAATGGGGATATGCATTGCCACTGATAACTGAACTAAGAGAATGTAGGTTTTCTTTGCGCTTCTACACGTCAGCGGACGTTGCTGTGTATTTACATTCGCAAGTGTGAATTTCAGTCATCCTGATATTGGCACGCGTGTCCCAAAAATAGTTTTATAGATTCGGACTGCTATGAAGCAGACCAAAGCGTTCTGTACCATGCAAAGAGTGATAAATGATCACACAAGCCCCTCCCGAAATTCGCATTAAGCAGCTGGAAATCAGTTACTAAAGCATTACTGTGCGCAATCAATAAGGCATCCACCGCTAGAATTGAATTCACGTTGACATGGGTCATAACGAGACGTTGATCAGATCTTTTTGATTGAATAATTCAACTCGTTCAGTCCCACGATTCGGCGGCGTAAAAACCTTCCAACAAAAATAAAAAAGGGGGCTCCATGCTATAAGGGTTGGCGTAAGCGAGTAAGAGAGATTCAGTTGGCTAAATATTTAGGGGAAATTTGGGGTTGTCGAAAGGCCACATTAAAGGGGAGAATAGTTGGTTTGCAGGTAAAGTATATAAGGTCTTCATGTATGTATTCCCTTCTTTTTCCATCTGTACCTTCCCCTTAGTTCCGTCCTCCCCTTCAGTTTGCGTCATTGTAGTAAGGCCTTGTTCATTGCTTTTGCCTTGTTGCCTGTTGTATCAGCACAAGCTATTGACTGTATTGTATGAACGTATAAACAGATTCACCAGAAATAGGACACTTCTTACGTCGTGGAGAGCCTGGAGTGCTCATCGATTCAAGACGTCGTTTTATTTCAACATTAATTAAGGAAATGGTGCAATAATTAACGTACACCACGTTGTGAGGAGATTGTTTTCTTCTATGGTTCACCTCCTCATTGTCGCAAATTACAATCGTGGCAAATTATTTGCTATTTCGAGGTGTCATATGACACTTCGCCGAATTAGCCGTTACGTTGAAGTTCCGTATTGGGGTTTTATGTTGTGACAGTCTCTTGAAACGCGTCTTTAGGCTAAGCAAGTGCAACCTAAGTTCTGTGGAGTAGAGTAGGAATTTACGAGTTAGTGACTGTACCATATACTATACCAGAAGGAATACTGTATTCCTTCTGCTGCATTTGACGACTGTGGTGAGGAAATGAGATTTCATAATTTCATAGTGCTTGGAAAGACGTGCATTTCCGCAATTTCTACCAAATGTCTCTAAGTACTAATGCTCCAAATTGTGTAGGAATGCATTTTCTTATTTTTTTTCCTTGGCACTACAGCCACAGTGGGCCTAGGACTACCTCACTTCGGTTTTTCTAGATCTTACACATTCGGTAGGACTCCTTGGGCGGGTGATCAGCTCCTCGCAAGGACTCTACCTGTACACAAACACAGAAAAACACACACACACAAACTAAACATCCGTGCACTGAGTGGGATTCGAACCCACGATCCCGGTTTCCAAGCGAGCGAAGACAGTACATGCCATTTTCTTATTTATAGTGTGTGTTTGTTGCAACCTGCCTGTTATCGGTCAATTAATTGTAGCGAGGTTAATAAGTTCAATGTTTTAATCGTCTGTTGAGACCGGTTTTTACAAAAGTGCTGCATTGTATGTGTCACAGTGTTACAGGCTGGGAGCATCTGAATTGCACAGTAGCCCCTATATGTCTGTGTGAGAGTTTTTACCACGTGCTTTTCCCACGACCTTATTGCTTTGCTTGCTTCTGCCCATGCCGCGCTGTGCAGCGGTGTCGGCGGAGGGTATGGAGGTCCTCAATCCACTGGCGGGGGGATGAACGCCGGGGGAGGCGGGACCGGAGGGGGCCCGGGCAATCCGGGGGTGCAAGAGGGTGGTGGACCTCAACAATACCATCCTTCCCCTTCGGCATTGAGTGCTGCGGCAATGGTAGCCGCCGCCACGGCCACCGCCACCGCGACGGCAAGCGTCGTGGCGCTTCAGGAACGACAAGAGATGAATTCACAGTTCAGCCAGGTCAGTAACAGCATGTTGGCACAAGCTATTTTAAGGACATTGCAAATGGCTTTGGTGGTTCTGTAAAACATTGTCCGCACAGTGTTTCTTGTATGACGCTTGCATAAGTTTTACGTTATTGTTCAAGTAACTATAGACCAGCGTTTTCCAGTTCTTACTGTGTCAGTACATCCCCCCCCACATTTATTATGAACTTTTGACGTTCGTCATGTAAGAACGTGGGGGGGGGGCGTATTCATGCACAATTAATGTAAATATACAATTGCGTTGAATAATACGGCAATGCAGTGAGCATTTGATTGGTTGCACATTGTCTCATGTCGGGCCGACGCTAAACGCGTAAGTTTGCTTGACGGCTGGGCTGTCTAGACGCCTCATTGTATATTGGAGTCACGTGGAGACGGTAACAAATTGAGACATCAGGAAAGGAAAGTGTTCAGTAGTATACAGTGTTGGCAACCTACTAGTCCATCCGCCATGTAGTCCCCCCCACCATCAGTTAGCTGGCTTTATGGGTCCCAGAGCCAGTGTGCATGCTGTGGAGAAGAGCTAAATCTTTTGCCTTTTCTGACAGTGTAACGACGGTTTCTTGGTTTTGCAGCCCATTGCCTTGTCAGTTTATTAGGATATTGTAAGTTCAGGAAATAAATTAAAATATGCTTTTTTTTATGTTTCACTTTATTTATAGTGAGGCCAGTGAGAGCTACTATTAATAACTGAACAATTTATCTGCATAATTTTGTCCCACTAGGCATTTATATTGTGATTTCATTACATTTGTTAGTTGTAACATCAAAGCGGTTCATTCTTCTCAATTTTTTTCTTTGGCACTACAGCCCCATTGGGCCTAGGCCTACCTCCATGAACTTCTCCATTCACTTTCGGTTTTTCTAGATCTTACACATTCGGTAGGTCTCTTGGGCGGCTGATCAGCTCGTCGCAAGGCCTCTACTTGTACACAAACACAGAAAAACGCACACACAAACTAAACATCCATGCCCTGAGTGGGATTCGAACCCACGATCCCGGTTTCCAAGCGAGCGAAGACAGTACATGCCTTAGACCGCTCGGCTACCGTGACTGGCATTCTCTTCCATTACAATACAGAATTATAGAATTGTATGTTAATTTGACAGAAGTGTTCCCCACCAACATCAGAAGTTCTCACGATTACGATGTTGGTTTTACTGATGATAGGAAATCAAAGAGCACAAAAATGAGGTGGACACGAGTGGTGTTGAAAATCATGCCAATGATTCCTGAAAATCCATCGGTTTATTCAAATGTCATTAGCGAGGAACATTCTCGGACTCAAAGACACAGTGTAGCATAATGGTGTCTTTGCACTTCAGAAGAGGGAAAGTAGACTATAAATGTTTTCACGATATTGGGACGAAGCCTTATGCCATTCTGGTTACTGTGAACCTGTTTCACGTTATTGAAACAAGCTGGTGGTTGCACTTAGTGATTGTTGGAGTGTATTGTCTAACAGTGCCGGTCACGGCAGCCGAGCGGTCTAAGGCACTGTCTTCGCTCGCTTGGCAACCGGGATCGTGGGTTCGAATCCCACTCAGGGCATGGACGTTTAGTTTGTGTGTGTGCGTTTTTCTGTGTTTGTGTACAGGTAGAGGCCTTGCGACGGGCTGATCACCCGCCCAAGGAGTCCTACCGAATGTGTAAGATCTAGAAAAACCGAAGTGAACGCAGAAGTTCATGGAGGTACGCCTAGGCCCACTGGGGCTGTAGTACCAAGAAAAAAGATTGCCTAATAGTAATCAGAGCCAGACTGCTTACTTCAAAATGCGAAGCAAAGCATGCAGCACTAAGCCCTGTATTTATTTCTTTAGTGTATTTAGTGTCTAGTGTTCACAATGCTTAATCATGAGATGCCAGCAGCAAAATCTGACATCTGTTCTGAGAATGCATGGGGCCTCAGTTGTACGTCCGTGCCCGAAAAAATTATCATTGTGCGTAGACTCGGAAGTAACTCTGCCTGTGAAGACCGGACACTGTAAAGCTTGAAAAATGAATCGTTTGACATGCATACATACACCATTAGTTTTGTGTCTTTCTGTAAGATTTAGGTTTTATTAGTTTTACAACTAGGGCGCGGTAGCGTAGGTCGTTGAAGCAGAATGCTACAAGCCGGATGGTCGCAGGTTCGATTCCCAATGATTTTTTTTTTCAATTTACCTAATCCTTCCAGCCCCACTGTGGGCCAGGGGTCAACTCAGCCTCTAACAGAAATGAGTACCAGGAATCTTCCTGGGAGTAAAGGGCGGCCAGCACGTAAGGCTGACCTTACTGCCGTATGTGATCCGATTGTCTAGAGAAGATGTGGGCGTCTCAACATATCCCGCAGTCGTGTTGGCCTCGACAGTCTGTTACAGGGTTATCTTTACCTTTATCTTTTACCTTTTACCAGTTTTACAAGTTCTCAGTTTGCAGATACGATGAACATAGTTAATCCTAATCGCAAACGATTAGCAGATTATCTTCAGATACGGCTAGAGATAATTATATAAGACGAGAAGGAAATGTAGTCAGAAAACACGCAGAACGAAGTAGAACTCCGCGTGACCAAAAATCTGCCACTCTCTTCTCCACCAGCTTGATAGAAGAAGAATACTTCTCAGGCGATAAAGTCCATCGCGCTTCTAGTGCAGTATACTGAATCCAAATGAATGGGTGTAGGGGAAGATCTCGTGTTGTTACGGGCCAATTCTGCTGCATATTCCCTGAAATAATATTCATTTACGATTATGTTTAACTGCGCTATCCAGACTCAAGTGCATCGAAAGATAAGATGAATAATAAGCCGTAAATGAATGCGAAAGAAGCAACCGTGGCCTAATCTAAGGCGGGTCTACTGATTCATTGTCCTGGAGGGAGGATCTTAATACAAGTCTGAAGCGTTATTCTTGCTTCTGTCTGTTCAGACCTTGTATGTCTCTTCCGAAATTGCTAAACCGATTCAGGTACCATTTTAAGAAAACTAGCAGGTATTTGTCACTACGAAAATTTGCACTGCCATCATATTCGTAGACGCTGATCATGGGAAGTAGAAATATAGACCTTAATGGTGGGTTGGTCTCTCTTGGCATGATGCTCATGAGACAGACGCACAGAAATAATACTGCAAGCCTGCCTTTCCGTACACGAATGAGGAAATTGGCTGAAACTAGTGGCAGACATTAAAAAAATATGCATGGTAGTGTATAATTCGTAAGCATTCCAGTGTAGTAGCGATTTGACACGACGTAAACAATTCTACAGATGGAATGATAAAATATTAATAAGAAGAATTATAATTCGAAGTCTTTGTGTGAGATAATCTGTAAATATATCAGGCCTTAAGGGAAGATAGAGAGCTTTAAGAAGTTTGGAATACAGCTGACCCTGCCCTCCCCCCACCCGTTAAATGCGTCGGATAGGGTTTAGATGTGCCTTACGAAACGTACTTAAAAACATTTTTTTAACTCGCTTAGTGGGAGGATGGAGTCCAACTGGGTCCACTCGGCACGGCGGCCAATGATTGTACTATTGTATCCTGCCCCGGGTGATTGTGATGATGGAGAATTTGATGGAATGAAGATTGGCAGGTGAAACCGAAGTACTCGGAGAAAACCCGCCCCAGCGCCACTTTGTCCACCACAAATCCCACTTGACCAGACCCTGGATCGACACCGGGCCCGGGCCGCCGCGGTAGGAAGCCAGGGACTAACCGTTTGAGCTATGACGCGGCCAACGTACTTATAAACTGGAGGACGTTTTTTAATGCCACGTGCACAACAGGCCGTCTCGAATTAACATGTTTTCTTTTGCTGGATTATGTTTGCATCCCTAGAATGAATTGGCTAGGGTGTTGTTAGACTGCACTATATGAGACGACAGTCAGACAACGATCTGTTTTTCAGGTTTAGTTTTTATACACAATCAGGTCTGACCTTTCTGTTTACTCTTTTGATAAACATTAAGTTTTTCCACCAATTGCTCCACAATCACCCTCACCTATTATCTGGGGCTGGTACAATAGGCCAGAAGTGGCCGCAGTACAAGGGACTTAGTTCCACCCCACTAGCAATAAAAAAAAGTTTATCTTATTTTCATATACATGCAATGGCAGTAATGTCTGAAATATTACTAAATGTCGGTACATTGAATGTTGGTGTGAGTAATACAAAAATTGCGCGGGTTTGAAAGTTATTATTACATGATGTTATCAACTCGTTAAAGATGTCGCCCATCCAGCGATTTCCGCTGGTTACACAAACAAGAGGAGTACGGCACGGCACAGCACGGCACGGCACGGCATCGCTGTTGTCATACTGACTTAACAATTCAACATTTGTTTGCGGTTGAATTTCGCAATAATCGTCAAATATGACTACATAAGCTGGCATCTGTACTGTATTGCCTACTGGGTTTCATTGCACACGTGCCAAGCGATAAGATTACTCCGCTTGTCTGTCCGTAGCTCTAGTAGCTCGTCCCGTTTGGTAGCGCTCTACGTCCGATAATACGTAATGGGTAGTGCGCACTTTGGAAACTCTACAATCCAATCACAAAGCGTTGATTTGCCCTTTTCGTTGCTCAGAAATCTTGTAGCAAATTACCTCTTTTAGATTTCAGTGTACTTCCGAAATTGCCTTCGAAACGTTGTTACTGACATCGTGTTAGTATAGTTATGGTAGCAATTGGCACCGTACGAAAAATACGACACCCAGAAGGAGGAAGTTACTTTTATCAGTAGTACATGCCCGTTGTCATGGTAACCATGTGACGTCACGGAAACCGAAAATCGTTGACGTCATTTTGTTCCCATGGTAACTGGAGGACGCGTAGCGATGTTGTCCGATAGTGTCGACCCAACTGTAGGTACTGATTGTTAATCTGGCTTACTAGAATTTAATAGTAGATGGATAGGAAAGCGCATAGATCTTGGTTGATGGAAGTTTGTGATTTTACTTTGGCCCATTCTTGGAGAGAGCTGGGATCAATATAGTGACTGTGCTCTGGGCTGGATGACCTGGGTTAGATTCCCAGCAGGGGTTGAAATTTTCCCTTTGACACCACAGACAGACTGGCTCTAGGGTCCATCTACCCCTCCTTACCCTAACCAATAGGTACCAAGGTTTTCTCCAGGGGTAAAGTGCAAGAATGTGAAACTGTGACATTCACAGAGTGTTAAGATTAAGATTGCATGGAGCTATACCTTCACTCCCACATGCATCTTCATGGCTTGATGCTTAGTTAAGCACAGAGACAATTTTTCCTCATTCTTAGACCTTAAAAGAATGTTGCCAAATTGTGGAACCATTCCTAAGTTGAACTGGTTCTCTTGAGCAGTTTTGATTATGATAAAATTTGGTTCATATTAATGGCCATTTTACTTATGTGCTTCATTGAAGTTTTACATTACTGTGCAGTATTTAGTTTTGAGGCCTTTGACATATTTTGATGAAACTTTATATGTAGTACCTCTTTTGTACAAGCATCACTGTGTGTACATCTCTTTCACTTACATTTATTTAAAACCTAAATATATTTTTGAGCCTGTCTTGCTTGGTATTGTGTGTCTGAAACATTTTTGAGGGTGTGCCATGAACATATAGTGACAGATCAGTACATCAGCATTAGAAATCTACTACAGTCTGTTTCAACATACAGTGTGAACCGTAATAATGGTACCGCAGATCTTGTTAAATGCAAAGGAGTTTCCTTCCTTAAGGTTGTTAATGCAGGTATGACATATCCTTCCAAGATGTTTTAGACAGAATTCACATAATAGAAACATTTCTTCTGTAAAAGGCATGTCTTCAAGATACGTGTGTAGACATTGCCTTACAAACATTTGTCCCGATATAGTAATACCTAAAAAGTTACACAATTGGAAATATTGTTGAGCTCCTGTGATCACCTCTTCTTGTTTAACTAATTTTAATGAAGCTCTGTCCAACATTTCAAACTTACTTTATTCATATTGAATCCCATCTTGAAGGTAGTGTGATTGTATCACGGATCATGTTCGTGACCATTCACTGATATAGCGAATATCAGTTGTAATTCAAATTTTCAATTGTGTAATTGCACAGTGGCATATAAATGAAGAAAACAGTGCAATTGATATTTAATTTGAATACAATTTACAGATCTAGGTACACATGAGGGTGAGGTTATACATGAAATAACCCCCCCTTGCTGAAAATGTTAACTGTGAAACTTGTAGCACAATTTGTTGCCATGTTTAAGCAAAACTGCTTGAGTCACATATAGTAGAAACAGAATGCATGATGCACAATTACAGGATATTTATTATACGTACTTCATTAATTACAATAATTTTCACACTTGACGGAGCCGGGATAGCTCGGTCAGTATATTGATTGTGTTGTGGGCTGTTGTGGGTTTAATTCCTCGCAGGGGTAAGTGATATTTTTTTTCTGTAGCATGCAGGACCACTGAGTTTCCTATCCAGTGGGATATCATGGGCTTTGTCCCTTTGGGTAAAATAGCAAGGGCGTGAGGCTGTCCAGTCACTTCCATCTAGTGCCAGGATCAAGAATGGCATAGCTGTACCTCAACTCTCACATATCCCTTTATGACAGTGCTTAATTTAGTAATTAAGTACAGGGCTAAGTTTACATCTCACCTTTATGAGTTATAAGTATATCACTGTAGTTTAGCTATAAAATAATAGTAGTAGTATTAATTCTAAAGGTTAGATACCAGCATTTCAGAAGAATCTGTTGCCTCCATTTTGAGGATAGAAGGTTGAGTCCCTCTAATATCTTGAAGATGGAGGCAGCAGGTCCTTCCAGAAAGCTTGTATATTTCTATAGGATAACAGAAAATAATATTTCAGAAAATTAATCTTCAAACTTGAGCGTTTTAATAAGCTTAAAAAGAATGCCATCAGTATCTCTCTGTCTGTAGCATTTAATGATGGGATGGTTGTGAATAATGAATTAGGACGAATGTGGAAGGTAATGGCTCCAACACAATTTAAGGTACTTTTTGCAGTTTTTAGATGCAGACATGAGTTCACACATGAAAGAAGCTCAAATCAGGATGATCCATATTTTGGTATAGATTTGAAACGAGCTGTTACCAATCAAGTCACAGTGGTTACTGCTTGGGCCAGCTGTGTTAGTGTAACAGTTCTTTACAGTAAACAGTAAAACAGAAGATAACAAGTAGAGGGAAGTATGTAACCTAGAGCAGGTTAGAGATGAATTTACAAATAGGAACCAGCAAAGAGTAATATCCCAGAGGAAATGTGGTAATTAAAATGGAAAGCAGTTTGTACTATTTTTTATTTTTGACATGACAAATCATGCTAACACATTTTAGGGTCTCAGGCAAGGGGGGAGTATAACACAGGGTTTTAAATATTTTGCTTTTGGGCCAACTATTACTTCATTGCCTAGTGTATCACAACATACACGCATATACTTGTTACAAGTGTGGTTTTAGTGCAGGAGGTCATACATTTATTACCTGTATGGCAATGTGATTTAACAATGAACATGGTAATTTAATATAGGCACATTATTAATAAGGAGTAAAATTAAATGAACACAAGATACATGTAAGTTAATACTGTGTTGCAACCCTCTGAGCACCTATTTAAAGCCTGGGCATGTGCATCAGAAGTTAGCTGTAAATTGCTGTCTTATGCTCAGTTTTTAAATGTTGGAAAGTTGGAGCTTTGCTGTTTCATTGTGGTTCTTGGTTACTTCAGTTAAGATGAATACTGTGCCACTGAAGTGTAGTAATGTTTTTTATAGTGATACATAAATTTATAAAATAAGCATTATGCAAGTTGTGAATGTTTCCTTTGTGAGTTTTAGCATTTTATCACGTGTCTTTGTTTCTGCCAATGTATAATTTTAAATCAAATAAATGGGTTTGGTAGAGATATAAATGAAACATTTTAGTTCACAGAATGGTAAAAAAGAGGCTGTGATTTATGCTTTTAATTTAAATTTAAATTCTCATTCTTGCAGATGCAAAATGTACCTCAACATGGAATGTCTGCTCAGCAGTACGGAAACACTTACGGAGGTCAGCGGGGACATGGGCCTATGGGCATTGGAAACCCAAACACTGCAATGACAACCATGGGAAACATGGGCATGGGATCAATTGGAGGAGGCATGAATGGCATGAACCCCATGAACTCGATGGCTAACATGGGGATGATGGGGCAGAATGCAGGAATGCATGGGAACATAATGGGAGGAATGGGACCAGGTTCTATGGGTCCAGGGTCAATGGTTCCTGGATCAATGCCAATGAACAAGATGGGAATGCAGGTATGGCAAGTGTAGCAATTTTAATATAATTTCAGCATTATTCTTCGTACACTTTAATTTAAAAATTGGGTTAGTTTGGCACTTTGGGATTTATTAATGTGATATTTATTTGCTTTCAGTATTTCGGAAATTTTGAAACTTCCATGTATGTATAGTTCGCATTTTAATTCTCTTTTATGTTTATGTGGAAGTAACCTTTGGCTGTCTTTAATGGGATGGGTAATGCTTGATGAAGGAGGGCTTGACTCTACATTTGGTTTTTAGAATGAAGTAGTTTGTCACAAAACTTTTCTGCCCCTCTCCAAGAGAGAAATTGAATATTGTAATTTTTAATTTGTTCTCACTATGGAGATCAGTATGCTAGATTTGTTCTGCATTTCTGCTGTTTGAAATTAATATCATTTTTTTTCTCTTGGATAATATATGTGTTTAAGAAGATGCACGTTTNGCAGTATGCTGGATTTGAAATTAATATCATTTTTTTTTCTCTTGGATAATATATGTGTTTAAGAAGATGCACGTTTTCTTGATACAGTTGCTTACAGCAGTGTTGTTATATAGTTCGGGAAAGTGTCACATCAAGATTGAAAATTGTAGATCTATTAGTTTGAATTCAATTTGTATAAATTAAGTTGGTAATAGAGTTCTTGTTACACCTAATTCTACTACTTGTGGTGCAGGTACATTAAGGTGTCATGTTTGGATATTATCTGACATGTAAACATTGTTTTTGACAGGGTCCGGGACCTCAAGTGTACCCACGTAGATTGGCTCCGTACCCCAGCCCTGCAATGCATATGTCACAAAAACGGCATCCGCAGGGTTATCCCAACCCAGGGCCAGGGCCCACAGTGCAGCCTGGCTTCTCACCTGCAGGAGGACCTCAGGTACAGTGCTTATATTTGGCAGAGAGTTGTCAGTACCTAGCAGAAGATACCATCCTAGTGAATGAATGAGTGACCTAATTTGAGATTATGCATATTGGTACGGTCAGCCCTACAAAATAAATAAGACTCTTGTCTGTCCAAAGGAAATAATTTGTGCATAATTTGAGGAACATGACTTCTGCCTGAAAAGAGTGAGGCATAAAAACTGTGGGTTGGTACTGATGCACCAGCCTTGGGTGGTATTAAATAAAACCCCCATCCATTGGCATCAGGATTGAAACTTTTCTTGCTGTTTCTGTGTGTTTCCTGGCAAATATGAGGAAGGTTTAATGCGCTGTATAAAACTGGTGATCTTTGTATTTCCTATCCAAACATGGCAGGAGGAAAGGAAGAATGCCAACATGATACTTTGTTACACTGCCTATTTCACAGTGATCCACAGTACGTTACATAAAACTTGAGGGACCCTTTGAAGTCACAGTTTCACCACATATGTATGTATAAATCTGGAAAAGTTCTAGAAAGTTAGCTACATTTATACTAAGGCACTTGACTTCATAATCTAACAGTATACACCAAGCCGTGCTGCATTCTTCTGTAGATATGTGCTGTGAACTTTTTTTTTCACAAAGGTGAACATTGCAACAGAGACTCAGTATAGCTGTTACTGGTATTTAGAGCTGTGCCATATCTCAAGCAGTTAGTCGCTAGCTTCCCACCGCGGTGGCCCGGGTTCGATCCCGGGCCTGGTCAAGAGAGATTTGTGGTGGACAAAGTGGCACTGGGTCTTGTTTTCTCTGAGTACTTCGGTTTCCCTTGCCAGTCCTCATTCCACCAATTGCTCCACAGTCACCCTGACCTATCATCTGGGGCTGGTGCAGTAGGCCAGAAGTGGCCGCAGTACAAGGGACTTAGTGCCACCCCACTAGCAATAAAAAAAAATACTGGTATTTAATGCTGCCACCTTTTGTTATTAAGAGTGTCTACTTTCCAACATGCAGAACAAGAGAAAATGAGTACTAGCGTATTATGTACAAGGAGCTTCATACCTTTGTTGACCGGTTCATGGCTCTGCACTTCATGGTGACCAGGACACCGCTGGCTGCAAGGTTCATATGAATTTTGCCAATGAATCAATACACCTGTTGCTGATAATGTTCAGAATGAAGTAGTAACAATTCACAGATCACAGGAGGCATTGAAAATCCTGTCCCTGTGCATTGCAGATTGATCTCACCTAGACTGTAGAAACCAACTGCAAAAATGAACCCTGCTAGCTGGATTATGCAGTTGTAAGGCATGCATAGATTGCTGTTGTTTATAGGGTCTACACTTCAACAATTGTGTTTGCTCTTCTTGCACTAGACTTTGACATACCACTGTCTTGAGCTAGACATTTCACTGATTTTCTAGGTGTATATTCAAGTCTGGCTCCTATGTCATCTCGCTTTTCCTGAGCACTTGGTGCTAGTGTATTTGTTTCTTGTCTCTTAAGAGCCCCATTGATCTCAGCTTATACACAAAATTGTTAATTTTTTGCCTGCTGGGAACTCTCTCATCACGAAAGTTACATCAAAATTTTTGCGGGCACTTCGTAGTAGATCCATATTTCATGTAGATGTCATAAAGAAATACATGTTGCTCTAAACATTTAAAGTATACGGTGCCATAATTGATTTGCAGGTTACAGGTACAAAAGTAACAAGATTCCATAGCAATAGCTGACAAAATAATAGTAATACTGCATGATGTATATGAGAAGAGAATTATTTTGCTTAAATGTTTTTATTGTGTCTAGTATATCAGCAGTTTTCTTGCTGCATAATTAATCAAAGAAATGTCTGTGATTTTAACCTGGATTGGTTATGCATTGCATTATTTTTTAGTGGCACATGTTTTGTATTTTTTCAATACTAACACCATTGCAGAGTCCTCAAGAAGCTAATAGTTCCCCCACGTTTTGTGGAACCTTAAGGTTCATGACCATGTTCGCAAGAGCCCAGAGGTTGAGCTGAGAGAAATTAAATTTGAAGACTGACACAGACTAAACAGGAAGCTGTTATTGTTTCCATAAAAAAATAGAAACATTGGAAGAAGAAATTGAGAGCAAGAATCTGAAATTGATGTAATGGTGTAGGCAGAAGCACTGGTATATATGTTTTTGTTTTGTTATTTCAGTGTAGTAAGTTTGCTCAGTTTCAAGTTAAACGTTTTTTGAACATTTGTGTGTGCAGTATCCAGCTGGGTATGGCAATGGTAGGCCCACTTTCCAGACACAGTATCCTCCACAGCAAGCAATGGGCCCATCAGGAACATTTGGTCCTGGTGCGGGAGTACGTGGAAATACAGTTGGAATGCGCCAAACAACACCACCTTACACTGCCAGTGGACAGACAGGTCACCAGTATTTTGGGGCTGGTGGAATGCCCACAGGAGCAATGGCAGCTCATCACAATGGAGGATCAGGAGGTGCACAGTTTCCTCCTCACCACCAAGCAGGGAGCACCCCTCAATATGGAAATGCAGCTGGGGCTGCTCAGTATGGTGGTGCAGGCAGTCAGTTCCAGCAAGATGTTAACGCCATGAGAAACAACATCAGCTATCAGCACAGTCCCATTCCTGGCAACCCCACCCCTCCTCTCACCCCTGCCAGCAGTATGCCCCCTTACATCAGTCCCAACCCTGATGTTAAACCCAACTTTGCTGAGCTCAAACCACCTTTACCAATACAAAGTGAGTATTAGGATTTTTAATTCATAGATTTTAAAAAGTTCCGTTGTTGAATGAGTTGAATGATACATCAAGGGATGAGTATAAGTAATCACTATGATTTGTTTCTGTACACTTTGACCAAACTATCTGACAGTGTGCTAGTTTTGGTTTTTAATTTTTAAATTTATGGTGTTATGCATATATATATATATTGTAACGTGTTTTGCGTTACTGATCCCACTTCTGACACCAGTGTAACGTGTTTACGTTACTGAAGACGCCGTAGAGATGGTTAATTGGTTTATTTAACAATCTACAAATAACGGCTACAATTAATTATCTCACAGTTGCGGGGTTTCACACTTTATAACCCTAATCGCATTAATCTGTTAACACTGTTGCGGGGTTTCACGACTTATAACCCTATGCGCAAATCAGTTCACTCTGTCTTCAGTAGTNCCATTGCAGAGTCCTCAAGAAGCTAATAGTTCCCCCACGTTTTGTGGAACCTTAAGGTTCATGACCATGTTCGCAAGAGCCCAGAGGTTGAGCTGAGAGAAATTAAATTTGAAGACTGACACAGACTAAACAGGAAGCTGTTATTGTTTCCATAAAAAAATAGAAACATTGGAAGAAGAAATTGAGAGCAAGAATCTGAAATTGATGTAATGGTGTAGGCAGAAGCACTGGTATATATGTTTTTGTTTTGTTATTTCAGTGTAGTAAGTTTGCTCAGTTTCAAGTTAAACGTTTTTTGAACATTTGTGTGTGCAGTATCCAGCTGGGTATGGCAATGGTAGGCCCACTTTCCAGACACAGTATCCTCCACAGCAAGCAATGGGCCCATCAGGAACATTTGGTCCTGGTGCGGGAGTACGTGGAAATACAGTTGGAATGCGCCAAACAACACCACCTTACACTGCCAGTGGACAGACAGGTCACCAGTATTTTGGGGCTGGTGGAATGCCCACAGGAGCAATGGCAGCTCATCACAATGGAGGATCAGGAGGTGCACAGTTTCCTCCTCACCACCAAGCAGGGAGCACCCCTCAATATGGAAATGCAGCTGGGGCTGCTCAGTATGGTGGTGCAGGCAGTCAGTTCCAGCAAGATGTTAACGCCATGAGAAACAACATCAGCTATCAGCACAGTCCCATTCCTGGCAACCCCACCCCTCCTCTCACCCCTGCCAGCAGTATGCCCCCTTACATCAGTCCCAACCCTGATGTTAAACCCAACTTTGCTGAGCTCAAACCACCTTTACCAATACAAAGTGAGTATTAGGATTTTTAATTCATAGATTTTAAAAAGTTCCGTTGTTGAATGAGTTGAATGATACATCAAGGGATGAGTATAAGTAATCACTATGATTTGTTTCTGTACACTTTGACCAAACTATCTGACAGTGTGCTAGTTTTGGTTTTTAATTTTTAAATTTATGGTGTTATGCATATATATATAATTTCTCTTGATACTTCATTTTCCTGTTCATTGCAGTTTCTATTCTTAGAATGTGATGATTGTAATTTTAAAAATCTGTCACTGTATGTTGTAGAATATTTTTTCCTTCGAGTTCGGTTTATAAATTACCTTTTGAATTATTGTTAAAAGAGTTGGTATGATGTATATTTGACCCAATTTTTGTGCAGAAGATGATGAATTACGTCTGACATTTCCTGTGCGTGATGGCATCATCTTACCTCCATTCCGCCTCGAACATAATTTGGCGGTTAGCAACCATGTCTTCCAGCTCAAACCCACCGTTCACCAAACTCTTATGTGGAGGTATGTGTAGAATGTGTTGTCTAAGCCGAATAGTATACATGTATTTTGACAGTATGATCCAGTAGTGTTGCACATAACAGTGTCCTGTGCAACATCACATAGCTTACTGGTCCACAACATGTGCCTTGGAGAGGCAATGGAAGCCAAAATTGTCTCACAGTGCTGCACCCCATCGTCCCTTTCGGTAGCTTGAAAAAGAGAATATTTTTAAACAGTGGTTCTCTAAGGCGCTGGAGTAGTTCAGATAAGAATAAGGCACTCAGTCGCTGAGGCAGGTTACTGAACTTTGCTAATATTGTTCATGATTGCTCCTCCACTTCTCCTCCACCATTAAAGTGGAAAGAGTTAGAAGTGTTGAAAAAATAGGGTGGCTTTCTTTTTAGGAAGAGTTCTTAGGCTACCATTGTACTTGAAAGTCAGCACTACCATTGATTTTCAGTGTCCTAGATCATTGTTAAATTACTTGTGTGTCACAAAACTTTCTAGTTTCATATTCAGAGCTCTTTAAGTTTCATAACAGTGAAAATTTCAGTCCTTAGGTTTCATGTATTGAAAAGGTTCGACAAAGCAGCAACAATAAATTTTGTTCTTTATCTCATCAAATTGATATTGCAGTAAAGCATTATTCATTGTCAGTAGTTCTATTTAGATTTTTACATATAGTTTCATGTTTGCAGGTCTGATCTTGAACTTCAGTTGAAGTGTTTCCATCATGAAGATCGCCAGATGAACACCAATTGGCCGGCAAGTGTCCAAGTATCTGTTAATGCAACACCATTGAGTATTGATCGTGGTGAAAATAAAACTTCACATAAGCCTCTTTACCTGAAGGAGGTGTGCCAACCTGGTCGAAATACCATCCAGATCACTGTTTCAGCTTGTTGCTGTGTAAGTACAGTTTTCTGACACTTCTTGATTGATTACTGAATTCCATATAATTCATTGCATCTTGGGTCCATTCACATTTTATCATATTCTTCCATCACCTTTCTCAGTTGCATCCTGTGCATTGTTCTGAGGATTGACGCATTTTATTCCTTTAAAACAGTGTCACGTATTCACTAGACTACACAGTGCCATAACATGCAAGACTGCATTATACAGTGTATCGTCTTCACCAGAAAAACCTGAGATGCGAACTGTAATTGCAGTCTTTAGGCCATTGAAGTGATAAAATCTTATCATTCTTGTACTTTGTTTGGATGAAGGGTAGTGTGGCCAGGGCTTGTTTTGTGGTAATATGTTCCTAATCCCTGTGTATGCTTAAATGAGATTCTGTTTCCAATAAGGGGGTGTTTCTTCAGGGAGCCCAGTTTGGCTCCTCAGACCTTCTGATACCACTGGAAGGCTGTCTCTAAGTTTCCTGTGCTGCATAAGCATGTTTCTGCATTAATATTAAAACATTTGTAGAGAAAATACAAATTTTAATCACCATCTCGAGGAGCCCAAACAAGTCCTTGCAGATTGTTGTTTTGTCCTTATAAACAGATGTGAAGAAATTGACTGTTTCTGTCAAGTCTAATGATGTGTTTGGTGAAGCTGATAACGTTAGATAACGTAAGATTTTGCATTTGTTGGCCTTTGTCGTTGTTATAGTAAGGCATCAGTCATTTCCAGTGTTCAACTCTTTAGTCAGTGTTGATCAGCTGTACCAGGTGGTATTCTTTCCAGAATAATGACGGTTTATACCATCATGTTTCACTTTTTTATTTTCTTCTGTGTTCAATGTGTGGTCCCTTGTGCGGAGGAGTAATCAGTGTCCTTGTATGTTTCTGCAATGAATTCACATCATATGCAAGTTCAGGAATGCAGCAGTACATCATACAGTAAGACTGATATCCTACAGAAAGTTTTGTGCAGCAGTAGATTTGGTTTGCATTACTTTCAAAAGATTGTTATCTCGAGTTACATTCAGTTTAGCAGTAAATGTTACAGAATTAAACACAACCATTCAGGGTATCTAAAATACAAATATTTTGGTTCAAAATTTGATGGGTTTGGGTTTATTTTGCATCCTGACTCTGAGGTAAGAGGTAAAGTAGGAAGTGCATGGTTCAGGCTTGAGGATTTGCCTTTTTACTTCCACATCAGATTCATGCTACCTAAAGCATTATGTGCACAGCAGTTTTTGAAGCCACCAACATTTGATTGGGAGGAAATTTTGCACTCAGCTGTGAATGATCTATTTCACTGCATGAATATTGAAGATACAAGTTTGCAATTAAAAGCGAAGCATGGTTACCTTTTTTCAGGAAGTGGCCTCATGTGATTCTCCTAAATGTTTGTTTATTGCCTCATCCAGCACCTGAAGCTATGATTCACTGCTACTGATGTGAATAATGAGGTTAATGTTGCCTTTTGTAATCCTCTTTTTACCTCCTCTGTGAAGAGCCCTCTGAAAGCATCTAAAGCCAGCATTTTGCACCTACTTAACACGTTCGTTGTTGTCTTCTATAAAAATTTGATTGATTTTAACATGAGGCCATTTATCATACGTCCTTCCTGTAATTAAAAGTTAGATGTGGCAGCAGCTTTTCTGTAGGGTTTGCTTTATAACATTATGTACAGGAGCAAGTTGCATACGTTGATTAAAACGTGGTGTGAAACTTTCATCACAGTGTAAATCCTAAACATATATGGTTAAGGTTAGCCATCGCCACAACAAATTATTTTATAATCAATCAGTATTTTACATTTTGAATAAACAGGGTGTTTCACGACTTTAGGACATAACTGCAGGAGGTGATTTCCAAGGTCTTTGTGATCAAAAAAGTTCATATAAACATGTGTCCAATTTTGGACGGTTACGGAGTTGTAATCAACACTCGCAGCTAAGAAGGGAACACACATCACAAGACGCGGTTTACACAGAAAATAAGAAAAACGACCCATAGTGAACAAACCACATGCAAATTTTAATTAAGACAAATAAGATGAATTATCTTAACAAGTTTTCGCGAGTGTAAATTTATCATGTTGACAAATACGCACTTTTTAAATGGTGTTGTGAAAACATATGAGGGCAAGCAATGCAATAGATTAACGTAATTGGGACACCTGATGATGGCACTATGTTGCCGAAACATGTTGTGAAGTGACAGGTGAAACTGAGTGCACTACAAGACGGCCACTGTATACATATCATAGATGAACACTGAAACTTCAAAAGATTTTCTGAATACTGGGTCACATCTGTACAGCATAAAGTATCCTGTTTTTAAAGTCACAGTATATTATATCATTTCCTACTATGATGTAAGTTTCAGTGTTTTCATTCTTACATTCTTATAACTTCTTGCATTAAAGGGAACCCAGTCTTCTGGTTTTCATGCACATCTGCAATGAGTTATTCTGTTTCATGAAATTGTCCCTTAGCAGCCCATTGAACATTTTGTTTTTGTTATTCAGTAATTATCTTTGTCAATCTGTCAGAGTCCTTGGTCTTCACTATTCATTTCCAGAGTTCAGAAATTAAGTCTTATACTTAACCCTTTAAAGCTGAAATCCAATGAAATAATAATTAACAGTTCAGTTCCTACACAACAAAATTTGCCATCTGCTTCTGCTGGTTTTTGCTTGGCTTACTTTTTGACCCTGAAGATGAATGTGAGATATTCCTCTGAAACATCATGCTTTATTTAAACTATTTGGCGCTACAACCCAAAAGACCCTCCTTTTCACAATAATTGCTGTAAGAACCTAAATCCAACATACGAAGTGTGTTCAGGAAATAACGGGAATTTTAAAATTTCGCGGGTTTGGAGAGTCCAATTGTCAAAATTTTTTTTTTATTATGTTGGTATACATGCCCCTGAAGTACAATAAAATTTTCAGCTGTATTCATTGCTTACTTTGTCTGTGGCAGCCGCTAAGGTTAGACGTGTTTTTATGAGCTTGGCGATTTTCGTTTGTTAAAAGAAATGGATCAAAGAATTTGTATCAAATTTTGCGTAAAAAATGAAATAAAGTGTTACAAAGTGTGTGAAATGTTAACAAAGGCCTATGGTGAGTCTGTTATGAGTAAAACAAGAGTTTACGAGTGGTATAAGCGTTTCCAAGATGGCCGTGAAGACGTTGCAGATGACGAGCGCCCCGGACGCCCCAGCACATCAACAACCGATGAAAACGTGGAAAAAGTGAAAGCAATGATTATGAATGATCGCCGAATCACAATCAGAGAAGTCGCTGATGATGTTGGCATATCGATTGGCTCATGCCATGAAATTTTTTCGAATGTTTTGGGTATGAAACGCGTGGCAGCAAAATTTGTTCCAAAATTGCTGAATTTTGAACAAAAACAGCGGCGAATGGAAGTTGCTCAGGAATCACTAAAGGAAGTCAACGATGATGCAGAATTACTGAAACGTGTTATAACAGGTGACGAAACATGGGTTTACGGATATGACGTTGAAACTAAGGCTCAATCGTCTCAGTGGAAGCATCCTGGATCGCCAAGACCGAAAAAGGCTCGACAAGTGCGTTCGAACGTGAAGGTTATGCTTACTGTGTTCTTCAATTTTAATGGCATAGTGCATCATGAATTCTTGCCTCAAGGTCAAACGGTCAATAAGGAGTACTACCTGAAAGTTCAACGCCGTTTGCGTGAGGCAATCCGAAAAAAACGCCCGGATTTGTGGAAAAACAATTCATGGCTTTTGCACCACGATAATGCACCTGCTCACACTTCGTTGCTTGTTCGTGAATTCTTGGCCAAAAACAATACTGTAACGATGCCCCAGCCTCCATATTCGCCAGACATGGCTCCGTGTGACTTTTTCCTATTTCCAAAAATAAAGAGAACCTTAAAGGGCCGTCGTTTTACAAGCATAGATGACATTAAAAGCGCATCGCTGAAAGAGCTAAAGGCTATCCCAAAAATCGAGTTTGAGAAGTGTTTCGATGATTGGAAGAAGCGCTGGCGTAAGTGCATAATATCGAATGGGGACTATTTTGAAGGCGACAACATTAATGTAGACGAATGAATAAATATTTTTTCCAAAATACGGAAATTCCCGTCATTTTTTGAACACACCTCGTATTGTATCTCCATTGCAACAACCAACTATTTGATTCTGTTTATAGAGATAATCACAGATTATTGTGATTATTGTTGGAATACACATTACAGGAAAATTGTAAAGCCTTTTTAATGTTCAAAGCATATAGTAACTAGTATTTTGTAAAGGGTTAAATCACCTTTATTTTTTTACAACACTGTATTCATGATTTGTACAGTTGTGTTTTAATTTTTCTTATTTTTACATGTGTAACAGCAAGTTTTCTTATTACTAACAGCTCAGGCTTTGCCTAAGTTGTCTGAATAAAAAGGATTATGAACCACCTTCATAAGGGACATTTATTATTTATCATTTATTGTGTAGTAAATTTGTTGTTTTGTGGCAGTATGTTTTATACTAATAAAGTTACCAGTAATTTATTAAATTGTAAGTAGTTTATTAATTAAAACAACTTCCTGTCAGCTGTTGTCATTACAAAAGAAATTCTTTTGTATCTGCAAAAGAGGACAGCTAGAGACAGCGATTTGTGCTAAACAGTAGGTGTGTGTAGTTGTTAATGATTATCTTTTGCATGTAGTCTCACCTGTTTGTGTTGCAACTGGTACATCGACCAAGTGTGAGAAGTGTACTGCAAGGTCTACTGAGGAAACGCTTACTCACAGCCGACCACTGTATCTCCAAGATCAAGCGCAACTTCAGTAACACAGCCTCATCTGGTGGAGGCATGGGCACAGACAGAGATGGTGTTGAGCAAACAGCGCTTAAGGTAGCTTCTCTTCATATCCGCTCACAGCTCCTAGTATCACTTATTTTCTAGTGCATGAGTAGCTACAGTTGTTGACATTTATCAATTTTTATCAAAGAAAATTATTTTCATACCAAGGAAACAAAGCAAAATGCCATTTAATTCTGCTAATGGAATGAGAGATTCTACTCAGCAGCTCTGATTTATTTATTGTAAGATGTTTGACTTATTCTGTATCCAACAGGCATTCCTACTGTGGCCTAGTAGAATGCAGAATAACTTGAAATTTAATTTGATCATTTTAGTGGCTTTTGTTTGGAGTGTTGGAATGGTGTAACAGTATGACTGTTATTTAAAGACTTACAAATAAGTTTCATATTTTCATTTGTGCCAGATTAGTTGTTAGAGGTGTAACTAATGCAGTGTTCTTAACTAAGTTACCTATACACAACTGAGAAACATTGTAAGTCCCTTATAAGAGGCTGTTATTAGTTTTCTTTTTAATTTTTAGCTAGTGCAATTCTTAAATTTCCTGCATTATTTGCCAGTTACTACTCCAGTAGCCTTTTCCATCCAGGAAATTTCCAGCTTCTAGGCTGGTGGTCATATTTTAAATTAGGTTTAACATTTTATCATCTAGGAATGAGGGATTTTTAATTCTATGGTTCTATGGGATTCGTAGATATATTGTAACTTATGGTAACAGTTGGGACATGTGGTAGTGTAGTTGGTTGAGGCACTATGCTACAAGCCATAAGGCCATGGGTTCAGTTCCCAGTGAGGTCATTGAATTTTTTTATTGACCTAATCCATCCATCTGCACTACAGCCCTGGGGGTCGACTCAAGCTCTAACAGAAATGGGTACTAGGAATCTTCTCGGGGGCAAAGGGCCAGCCAGCAGGTAAGGATGACAACCTCAGTACGATCTGTGAGCTGATTGTTTAGAAAATGTGGGAGCCTTGATGTCTCTCAACCCAGTGGGCCTCCAGGCCTTGTTACAGGGATAGCCTTTTTACCATTTAGTGTAGGAGTATCATAGTTATAACAGTTTTATTACTGTTACCTTTATTAGATTTTAGGTCCTAAAGGCAATGACTATGAAGAGTCCTATTTTTGGGAAATGAAGCTATGTAGTCTTGTAAAAGATAATTGACATTTCAGTGGAAGGTACTGCCTCCATCTTCAGGGTCAGAGAGTAGTCTTTTGCAAGCAGCAAGCAGATAATATAGCATCACATCTGAGAAGATAGTACTATTTGTCTTTGAATGTACAGTAAACCCTCATTTATAATGGTTTAGTAAGGGAGCAGGGTTGAATATACAGTAAAGCCTCTTTATAATGTACTAGTAAGGGAGCAGGGTGTGTGTAGTTGCCGACGTCCACTATGAGTGAATGGCTGTTAACAGAAGTACACTGTAGGCTACATAGCCTATACATATAATAAGCATAGAAACACAAAGTGTGAGTGTTTAAGGGTTTTTATATTGGGTTTTATTTTTTAAATAATTTTCTCACTACAAAACCTTCTTAGTGCCTCAGCATCTCTAAAGATTTACTTTTGTACACAGCCAGATTTTGTTCATTATATCTGGTATTTTGTTATTTCCTAATGATGTACCACATTATAAAAAATTTAATTACCAGTATGGTGTTTTTATAGACAGATTTTATTCTTTTTTCAGAGTTCAGAATAAAAGGATATCTATTGCAGGAAAAACTGGAGAACAGTATTGGTGAATATTTAATTCTCTGAGTTATATGTACAGTATGTACATATATATATACATATATATATCTACAGTGTGATATATGCTGTAGCAATCGTTTAGTGAGGAGTTCCCAATAAGTTACAAATTACCTGTTAGTCCTCTCTTCGAGGGCATTTTTATAGTCACATGATTTCCTAAAAGCACTGAAGTAAATTTTTAATGCTTAATCAACATACCTGAGGTATCTGTTGTTACTGTGTACTGTAAGAATGGCTGTGGTAGCTACAGGTTCGGGAATATGTATATATTACTTCTAATCATACATAATAATATATATATTATTAATCTTTATCATGAATACATAACACAGCACTAGGAAAAGGAAATGTATGTTTTTTTGAGTAGAAAGAACACATTCTCATCCTAGTAGTTGGATTCTTTATGTGTATTACATTAGATCAGGTAGCATGAGGTAATTGTTCTCTTAGCTTTAAATAAAGTGTAAGAGGCTAAAGAAATGGTGTGAATAATTACTGTAATAGCATCAAAATGATTGGCTATATAATTTTTGATTATTATGATTTTTCCAGGTATCACTGAAATGTCCCATTACGTTCAAGAGGATTACCCTTCCTGCGAGAGGCCATGAATGTAAACACATTCAGTGCTTTGATCTGGAATCTTACCTGCAACTCAATTGTGAACGAGGGTCTTGGAGATGTCCTGTGTGCAAGTGAGTGTTTTCATTTTTTTTTGTTCTAAGGAAGAACTGACAGTGTAAAGTGATGCTGTGCACTACAAGAAAATCCTTATGTATTTGTATATATGTTTATATATATTGTCACATATTTAGGGTGTGTGTGTGACTATAGGCCTGGTATGAATTGGTGAATGGAATTATCGACCACTTGTATACACCACTTGAAACTACGCTTTACAGATCACTGACACATGCAGACTAGTGTTCTCAATCTGTTACGGTCCACATTAGCCTTTTTCTGGAAACAGCTTTTACCAAGGGAGATTCTTCACCTTCCCACACTCTGGTTCACTTGTCACAGCTGCACTCTCGCAAAGCTCTCGTCAACTGACAACTCAACTGTTACCAGGCTGACAGCCATATCACACCAGCCTTCTAGCAACCACTTAGTAATGGGTTTATACACCATAATATGTTATAATACAATAATATTTTGTGATGCCATTCTTAGAATTTCATGTAGGATAATTTTTGGCACCTTCTAACCAGAGATACTAGTAAATTCTCTTTTAAGTAGTCAGTATCTTCAATTTCTTTGTGGCAGCATTCTCACTGTAGTGGGATTCCACTCTGTGTCAACACTTCAGTTTACATGAAATGTGAATATGTTACAGTAACCCATATTTTAAATTTATAGTAAGCCTGCACAGCTGGAAGGTCTTGAAGTTGACCAGTATATGTGGGGAATTCTGAACACACTCAATAGCTCAGAAGTTGAAGAAGTCACAATCGATTCCTCTGCCAATTGGAAACCTGCCAAGAGTATACAGGGGATTAAGGTAATTAAATATTGCAACAATGTATTTTGAAATTATCTCCAGTAACTTGAAATATTCATCCTCTGTTGAAGCAGAACAGTATTACTAGAACTGAGTATGTATTATCAATGTAGGAATTAATTATAAGACTAATGTAATAATTTATTTCCCCTTGGCAAAATCATGACCACTGAAATGGTAATACTTATATAAATTTAAGTTTTCTTCATTTTAGACTATGCTCTTCAGTCCTTAATATTTTATTACTTGGATCTCTCTCTCTCTCTTTTTTTTTTTTTAAATTCCATGTGCATGTGATTTCATTTTGCTTATTGGTGATCCATAGGTTCTTTGTGGTCTTCTAAGAACCTTGGTGTCTTCTAAGTAGATGCCCATTCTTATTTGATTTTTCCTTCATCTCTTCACTTCTAGCTGTCTTAAAATTACTTGCTATATCTCTCAGCTCTCTCTGTCTTTCCACTCCTATTTTAAAATATTTTTGTAGTCACTCTTTTTTGGTGCATTGTCATTTCATGCCCCAGCAACCCTAACCTCATCTTTTAATATGTGCTACCAGATCTGATTTATTCAGTTCTTGGTTGGTTCTGATTCTCCAGATCTCATGTTCACTTACTGATTTCTACACCTTCCTCAAAATTATGCTTTCCCACATGTTTAACATACTATGATTTCATCCAGTCAACTGAACTATAATAAATGTAATTTGGTTGTTATTGTACTGATGACATGTCAGTCTCGGATTGAAAGTAATGCCATTTGTTACTTAATCATTATGCCTAACATAGTAGAACATAATAAATTCAAGTGATGACTGAAACTTCTGACTTGCTTAGAAACATGATACATTTCAGGGCATTTAAATTACCGTATTTACGCATGTATAGGCCGCGTGCGTGTATAGGCCGCAGCACAATTTTCAGACAGTAATTATAGAAAAAATAATTTTCTTGGAATATTATTTCAGGAGTAGAACACCCTGTATTACTAATTATGAATATAATTTTTTTAAAATGAAGTGTGATTTCGAATATTTCGAATATAAGCCGCACCCCAGTTTTCCTCTTGAATTTTTGGCAAAAAAATGTGCGGCCTATACATGCGTAAATACGGTAGTCTGCTAGTAATTTAAATGGGTCATAATGAATTTAATAGTTACATTACATTGTTTTAGACGGAGGATGACAGTGATTCATGTGGAGCAAAACGTCTTAACAAGGCAATGTCTCCAGGCAGCATGACTCTCCCCACCATGAACAACTGGGACATGAACCAAGCCATGTCTCCATACATTCCTCCTGATATGAACAGTAAGTACATAAAGATATTTTGGAAGTATGACTCCAGTACTGAAATGTATCAAAGACATTAAATTATTAGTTAATAACAAGATTATTTTGTAATTAGGTAATTAACTAAATTTGTACACAGCAGCAAAATCTTCCAGTTTTCACATTGTAAAGTTTTATGACATTAAAAATTGTCTGTACTCTTTAATAATGACATCACAGTTGTTTTTGCCTTCACTTGGAATTTGTCGCAAGTTATGATGAATAGATATTTCCAAAATAAAAATTTAATATTGATGTGAAGTGGCATGGTTTAACATGTGAACAGAGAAACAGAAGGAATAATGCAAATCATGCAAGTAGAAATGTATGTTCTGTGCCATGCTCAACTAATATATACTACTTCACTCCCTACGCTGAGGTTATGTCGTCATTTGTTAACTAAAGCAGTGTATCTTGGCCAATGGGCCACAGCCCAGTACTTGGCCCTGGCATCAATTATACTGGGCCGTGGTCTCACAAAGGTTGAGAACCACTGATATAAAGGTTTCTGAACATATTGTGACATGTTGAGCTATGGATCACCCCTCCCTCCCCAGCGGTACGTGGCGGTAACGTAACGCTCGCATTACTACGGTAATAGGCGAGTTCCCGCCCCGCCACTCCCCTCCGCGTTGACGTAACGCGCAACGCGCGGTGACGTCACGAGCGGAGCCGAAGATAACCGAGCGCCGTAACCTGGTAACTACGCAATGCGAGTCAACAGCGGTGACGTAATAGGATGACGTGGCACTCATTACGCAACCGGCAACCACGGCAGCTATATAAGTGAGCTGCAGTGCCGGTACGAGTTCGAGTTCTAGTGTGACTACCGCAGAGTTGTAACGTAGCCATCGCCGAAGATAGTTCGAGCAAGCCTACGAGCGAGTGTGTTATCAACAGTTCTCCAGTCAGCCGACTACTGTTGGAGTATAGCAGCCGTGGCGGAAAGAAGAACCGGACGTGTGTGTGTAATTGTGTAATTGGGAGCGTGTGATACAGTGATACCTAGCTCCCCCTACTGTAAACGTGTAGACTATTGAAGACAGAGTGAACTGATTTGTGCATAGGGTTAGAAGTCGTGAAACCCCGCAACAGTGTTAACAGATTAATGCGATTAGGGTTATAAAGTGTGAAACCCCGCAACATTGTGATAATTAAGTGTAGCCGATAGTTGTAGATTGTTCAATAAACCAGTTAACCATCTCTATGGCGTATTCAGTAATGTAAACACGTTACATTGGTGTCAGAAGTGGGATCAGTAACGTAAACACGTTACATTGGTGTCAGAAGTGGGCTGCCCCCTGCAGGAAGGCATCCCGTCGCGCGACAGTGGCACGACGTTGGAGAAATGACTTCAAGAAGGAAGTTCCCCTGGGAACCTTCGGATGCCAGCGGAAAGAAGTGACCGCCACCGGAATAAAGATTACACGCTGTGTAGGACACAGGCGTATGGGACAAATCAAGAATAAGGTCGCACCGGAAATCACCAAGAAACGGACGTTCGGGAAGAGAATTTGTAAAGGCCCGGAACGCAACACTTGCATCAGGAACCGAGGCCTGAGACATCAACTACAACGCAGAAATGAAGTGAAGGACCTAGGCGGCGGACATCCGCGATATGTGAAGGAAGCAGACCTGAGAAAAACTGCAAGACTGCAGATCGCCAAGCGAGTAGCCGAATTTTCTGTCTGCCTACAACACGGCGAGGATTGGACCTTGTGGAGGGGACGATCCCCTCCAAAACGGAAAAAGAGACTTCATGCAGAAGAGGAGCCGGTAAAATAGAAGAACCGGCTTCCCAGAGAGAGTGAATGTGCCATAGAATGAAAGTGATGGATGAATGGGACACAACTGGATCTTCTGGCGAGCTGAAAGGAAACCGCTCGAGACGAGTCGATCTTAAGAAGGGAGCGGATGTAACGGACAAAGAAGATGCTGCAAGAACAGCCTCCGAAGCGAAGGAACGGGGATGCACCGTTAGGCTATTCGGGACGAACAGCCTTAAGGAGGGAGCAGTGTGACATGTTGAGCTATGGATCACCCCTACCTCCCCAGCGGTACGTGGCGGTAACGTAACGCTCGCATTACTACGGTAATAGGCGAGTTCCCGCCCCGCCACTCCCCTCCGCGTTGACGTAACGCGCAACGCGCGGTGACGTCACGAGCGGAGCCGAAGATAACCGAGCCCCGTAACCTGGTAACTACGCAATGCGAGTCAACAGCGGTGACGTAATAGGATGACGTGGCACTCATTACGCAACCGGCAACCACGGCAGCTATATAAGTGAGCTGCAGTGCCGGTACGAGTTCGAGTTCTAGTGTGACTACCGCAGAGTTGTAACGTAGCCATCGCCGAAGATAGTTCGAGCAAGCCTACGAGCGAGTGTGTTATCAACAGTTCTCCAGTCAGCCGACTACTGTTGGAGTATAGCAGCCGTGGCGGAAAGAAGAACCGGACGTGTGTGTGTAATTGTGTAATTGGGAGCGTGTGATACAGTGATACCTAGCTCCCCCTACTGTAAACGTGTAGACTATTGAAGACAGAGTGAACTGATTTGCGCATAGGGTTAGAAGTCGTGAAACCCCGCAACAGTGTTAACAGATTAATGCGATTAGGGTTATAAAGTGTGAAACCCCGCAACAGTGTGATAATTAAGTGTAGCCGATAGTTGTAGATTGTTCAATAAACCAGTTAACCATCTCTATGGCGTATTCAGTAACGTAAACACGTTACATTGGTGTCAGAAGTGGGATCAGTAACGTAAACACGTTACAATATGATATGTGTATGAAAAATATGTAGTTTGAAATTTTGTTTTGATTTTCAATAAATGCAGCTTAAAATGGTTTAAATGGAAAAGTTTGTTCAGAAATTTGTAAAAGCGTAACTTGTAAGGTGGGGAAAATGTTACATGTTAGAAGTTATTACATGAAAATTTTTAATTTTATGTGTATGAAGCATGTAGCCATACTTAAAAAAATCATTCACCTTCAAATGGGAAAACTTCATACATCGCAGCATCTCTGGGAAACACTAACATTTTGGTGAGCTACACATTTGTTAAAGTCCATTCACTAAAATAAGACCTACAGTTTTTCCTGTCCATTCCTTTATGTAAGCTTTCTTGTAAACAATTTGTTAAACTCTATTTCTATGTAAAATGTATTTCTTTGGTTACTGTAACAGAATTTAATATTCATGTATCTTTTTTACGTAAATTTTCAGGCATTGCAAGTGGTTCCATGATGAATAGTGGCCCTCCACCTTACACTGCCAGTGGAATGGGACGAGGCACCTCGTATGACTTCAGCACAGGCTCTAATCCGGGGAGTAATGAGTATGCCGGTGGTGGGGGTCCACTGTCACATCTCAGTGAGTCAGTGAACTCTCTTGATCCATTAAATGCAATGGAGAAGACTTTGAATGAGCAGGTAAGCAGATCATGTTTAGTATTTATTATTATTATTATTATTATTATTATTATTATTATTATTATTATTGGAGGGGGTGGGTTTCCCCATGCAGTGTGACCAGTGGTCTATTGTACTTCCCCCTGTGATATTCTACCAGTCTCTATACCCTACCGATACTGGTGCGTGCCATCAGTCCCGACTCAGCCAGCAAGTTCGGCCTCTACTGGCTCAGCGGTATCTAGATGCTTCCCCCATCTACCAGAGGCGTTAGAGACTATTGTTGGATGGGAAATGTTCTTTATAATTTGGCTCAGAGGCCTCCTTGAGGCATGAGGTTCTTTTACATGCTGTAAAGCTACGACACGGGACCCACGGCTTAAAGTCCCTCCTGGAGGACTTGTTCCCTGAATTTTTCCGCCCTTAAAAATTCCACAACCTCCGCCGGGTTTGAACCTGCATACCACGAGTCATGAGGTGGGAGCGTTACCCCTAGACTACGGAGGCCGCTGTCATGTTCAGTAAGTCTATATTATAGCTTGCTCAATGTGAACGGGCAGTTGTAGCTGATAACTTTTTTTTCAAATGTATAGTTAACCGTGTGTTTTATTAGTAACTGACACTTTTGTATTTGAGACACTCAAATGTACATGTAAAGTGGAATAATGTCTGATAAAGTGTTCTTATACAGTACTTTTGTAAGGTATTCAATATGAAGATGTCACCGGAGTTTCACTAGAAGAATTACAGTTTCACAGTTTGATGTAAAATGATAGTAATGGAAGATCTTAATAAAAACAGGTTCAGTTGTGGACAAAAGGAAAACTATGAAAATTAAATATGACAAAAGAGAAATTGGATGTACTTGTGCTTGATTAGATGTGAACCCCAAGATGTAGTTGCTCCACTCAGCTTTCTAACTGTGGTGTTTTGGAAAGCTGAGCACAGGCTGTGCTACATTACATACCTGCAATTGTTAAAAGCCTTACATCTCCAGGTTTGAAAATGAAGAATATACTATTGAAGGTAGATTCCAGTATAAACAGTCACCACGACTCTTGATCCGTAATTTTGCCGTGTGTAATTTTTTGCTGGAGCACGGTTTACTGTAAATGGCTACTTAAACAGTTGAAAGTTAAAACAGCTGGTTTGAAGTGTTTGGTTTGATGAGTGATGAACACTGATGAACAAATGGAGCCAAGCATGTCAAGTTTTATATGAGGATAAACTATAAACATATCTACTTGCCCACATTCTGTGTGAAACTGCAAGGTTACATCTGATGCACTTTATATAGCTGGAATCTGTAGTAGTGGAAATCTGCACTGAAATGTAGCACTAAACTGTATAATAACTAATAAGTTGTATCTTGTTATCTCTCTCATAGATTGAAGAGTTTGAAGAATAGTGAACATCATTAGTTCTTGTAACAGCTTGTTAGTGTAGTAGGTCAGGAAGATAACTGAAATCGGTTGTACTGACTGAGCTCCTGTAGTTCTCTACCAGTAAGTCTGACATACATATTTTTGGTTATGCAGTCATTTTAACATTCTTATTTGAATGGATGGATTTTTTTTTCTTAGATGCCACATACTCCTCATACCCCTCACACGCCACACACACCCCACACACCTGGAGGGACACCTGGAAGTGCTCATACACCAGGAGGAGGTAACAGTGGCCCTCCAAGTGTACCTCCTGCCAGCTCAGGTGAAGGTGGTAATGTTGGCAGCAGTGCTTCAGGCCCTGGAAGCAGTAACAATAGCAACCATGGTAATGCAAGTGGCAGTACTGCTAATGCAAATAATGCAACAACTGACACTCCTGAAATCCCATCTGATCTCAACTTTGATCCTGCGGCTGTTATTGATGGAGAAGGCCAAGGTCAGGAGGGGCTCAATGTGAGTATAATGTGTACTGTAATTCTAATAAGGTATGATTGAAAATAGTGTACAGTGAAACTGGAGTGTAGCATATAATGAGGACATCATTATAGTGACAAGCCATTGGAACTATCAGTTTATCAACATTTCTTTTATTGCTAGTGGGGTGGGACTAACTCCCTTGTACTGCGGCCACTTCTGGCCTATTGTACAAGCCCCAAATGATAGGTGAGGGTGATTGTGAAGCAATTGGTGGAATGAAGATTGACAGGGGAAACCGAAGTACTCGGAGAAAACCTGCCCCAGTGTCACTTTGTCCACCACAAATCCCACTTGACCAGACCCGTGATTGAACCTGGGCCACTGCGATGTAAAGCCAGCGACTAACCGCTTGACTATGGTGTGACCTAGTTTCTCGACATAGTACATATGGAAAAATATTATATAAAAGGGGTTCTTTTCCAGCATGACTGTCATAACAAGTAATTTGTAACTAGCTGCCACTGTTTTCTGGTAATTGTACGAACAGAGTATACTTGCAGTTTTCCTCTGGAAGTTCTCTAGAGTTATCGGCCCATAAAGATTCAGTTAACTTGCCCTCTCTGTCCTATCCTTGTCTAGGAGAAAGTTTGCCTTCGTAAACCTAATTGTGAGCTGCTTATCCCTGCCACTGTTTAACCACTGAAAAATGCACTTCACCTGATGTCCACTGCACCATACATAATACCACCCCGAACCTTCCACTGGCCTTGGTAGGACAAGGATGTAACAGAATGCAAAACAGAGGACCTTAGATGTGAATACAAAACTTAATCATATGTCTGTGTAAAGTTGGCAACTCATTAAAAAGAAGAACAGGAAGGTGATTTCATTAACTTCTTAGACACTGATACAGTATTGAAGAACAATGAGAAAATGTGGTGTGTACTAAACATAAGCAAACTAAAATTTTGCTTTTCTTTTGTAAGTACTTGTTTGTGAAATTTGTTTCACAGTCTTAGTTTGTGACTGTTAAGAACATGAGATGTGAACTGTGTTATCAATCAAATTTCGTAAGTTGAGGTGTGGGTCTTAGTCAGGTGTCTTATAAAGAGGGTTATTTTCATTATGATTGCGGTAATGTAAATTTATCATCTGATAGAGGAACCGGTATGGATTCGTATACAGTTTATATGTCACTACCACATTTCATAGTTAATGCAGGGAATCCAATTTATCCATATACTGGCTGGCAATAAATTTGTTCATCATGCTTGTACGCTTCTACCTGCCAAACCATCACTTCATTACCTGAAGCATGCTCTAACTGTCCAGCCCTTATGATTGGCACTACCTCCTCTCTAACTGTCCTTTTGGCCCCTTTGTTGCTGGTTGCAGCTGCTCCTCTAGCCGTTCCCTCTCACCTGTTGGTACCCCAAGTTTGCAGGTTGCTGCTGTGTCCTTCTTATCCAGTTCTTCCCTTTTTGTTGTTGATATTTGTTGTTTACAGGCTATGGGTTACATGAATGCTGGGCGCCACTAAGCTTACTATTAAGGCTTTTCAGCAAAAAAAGGGGAATGAACCGGAAACTACAGGTGATAGGTACTGCATTCGCACTAGAGCGATGAGATTCTGTCTCAGGGTGCATACAGGCCTCGCGTTAGCTGGAAAGATAAGAGTGTTTATAGCTAGGCACTACCACACACTGTTTAATGAGCACTTTTTGATATTCATTTAACAACATTTGTCCTTAATCCCTTAAACAAACTTGAAATCGCTCAAACTTTTGTGACTGGATCCCTGGCTAGTTATTTAGCGACTGCTTTTAGTACAACACGTAGAAGTGATTACACTTTCACTTAAACTTTTAAGCCAAATTAAGATTCACACTAATTGTTGCATCTACTTAATTTTGCCGAGTTAATCAGAGAATGTTCCAGTAACACTCTTAAATAATTTTGTTTTTAACTGGGACTTTTGAACCAAACTGCCAGTGATGCTAATTTTTCTGCTGTACACTTGGAGAGTTGTTCAGAGGCTGTTTTAGCAGACTGACTCTGCTTTGAAGCAAGGAATCTTCACAGCTTCAGCTCCACCTCAAAGTTATTACCCTAATTTCAGCTGATTGGAACAATTCAAATTTAGGGAGTTAACTGCAAATCTCACCGCTCCAGTCACCTAGCTGTAGTTTGGGACTTTGGACCTTAAAGTCCTAATGTCATTTTTGACAGCTGCTTGATAAATTATACCAGTAGCGTGGGTTGCAGGCCTTCCCACTTTTGACTTACGGGGTTCAAAACCTGTCAAGTGTAACTTTACCAAAGGATCCCGCCGGTCAACTTTCGAACTGAATTTCCAGGAAAACTCTGTGGTGTGCTTCCTGCCTGGTCTTTGTAGCAATGAAGGAGGCCCTATTCTTGAAACCAAGAATCAGGCTAAGTCACCCATCAGTGTTCCTTACTACATCCTATGCGTAATTACTATAAAAAGAAATCTTGATTACAAATAAAGCTGGTGGTGTCTGTGGTATGGCTACAATGCTCTCTTGTCTTAGTAGTGTTGGCTTTTAGCACTGTTAGTTGTCTTTGAGATAGTACAAATAGAGTTTGATTTGTTGTGAAATATCGTGTTCTGAAATGAACAGAACAAAGTATTTATGTATGATACCTTCGTTCAGGAAGATGATGCAGTGGCGCATGCTGAACAGTTTTGTGTATGTGTTAGTTAAAGTCTTTGGCTAACAAGTCACAAGTCCCGGCCTTGTCTTCTGGCCTCCATGTTCATGTGATTCAAATCCTTCTGACTTTAATTTGTGAGGCACATTGAAGGAAAAATATATCTGAACAATCTGCACACTCTGGGAGAACTTAAGGAAAATATTAGACACTTCATCATATGTCTAGAAACATATTCTCATGAAGTGAGGCATGCTTAGATTGTTGTCACTTTGAGACTCCTATAATATAAGGTATTGTATTGTATTGTATTGGAGAGGGTGGGATTCCCCATGCACTTAGACCAACCATTGGTCCATTGTGCGTCCCCCTATGATATTCTACCAGTCTCTATTCCCTACCGGTACTGGTGCATGCCATCAGTCCCAACTCAGCCAGCGAGTTCGGCCTCTACTGGCTCAGCGGTATCTTGATGCTTCCCCCATCTACCAGAGGCGTTAGAGACTACTGTTGGGTGGGAAATGTCCTGAATTTGGCTCAGTGGTCCCGTTGGGACATGAGATTCTTTTACATGCCGTAAAGCTACGACACGGGACCCACGGCTTAAAGTCCCTCCTGGAGGACTTGTTCCCTGAATTTTTCCGCCCTTAAAAATTCCACGACTTCCGCCGGGTTTGAACCCGCATACCTTGAGTCACGAGGTGGTCTAGGCCGCTTATAATGTAAGGTAAGATAACAGCTGAAGAGTGGGGTGTGAATTATCGCCTACCGCAGTGGGTGTATGTGAGGAGAGTGCCGTATCAGCTGTGAGAACCAGTGTAATGATAAACTGCATGCATTGTATAATGGTTGATTCAGAACCATCACTTGACACATTTAACAACAGAAAGTTGCATGTATTCCAGTTGTGGCATTTAGAACAACCCATGGGATACTGTACCGATGCAAGTATTGGTGTAATTGAACTGATTCATATGTTGAGTGTGTTAACTTAAGTCTGATACAAATAGCTGGATATATTCTCACATGTATGTGCTTGCACTGAATGATTCACAGTAGGTGTCTGTGGGGCTTGCATGTGTATAAGGAATTGTGCGCAGCATATGCGATTTATACTTGTGGGCTTGCAGAAACTAGTGGGTAGGATTTTTGTTTGTAAAGGACATCTTCTAGTTAGTAGTCAGTTATGAGTAGAAGGGGTTGTGTAAGTCTGGGAAAACCTTTTAACGCTTTGGTTCAGATAATTCTGGTAAGAGTGGTGAATTATTCTTTGTTATTTTCATATCCCCATGATAATCAGTTCAAATTAAAAGAAATACTGTGATACCAGCATCATTATTTAAACTTTGGTGCCATATTGTATTATACATAATTGGAAGTTGTGGGATGTACTTGTAGTTATGTTTTGCAACCATTTGTAGGCATTACAGTTACCTGTTACAACAAGCATATGCAGAAATTTGATAAATTCTCGTAATATCAAATTTTACTTTATCTTAGATCATCATCTTCCAGATTGTGACACTGGGTAGTTAAAAAATTCAGAGAAACTATTGCTTTTGAATTTCACATTCTTTTACCCTGAAGGCAGAGGAGTCACACAACCCAGGAGACCACAGTCTCAGTAATCATTGTGAAAACCACTCTATTTAGTATATGTTCTTTTGCATGTTGATCCCAGATGACTTTTAATTTGTTCATCTATGAGTTTTGCCATAGTCAATAAGTTGACAGTCATTTTGCTAGTTTTACAATTTACCTTACCTAAATAGTGACATTTTTTAAGTTCAAGGATAATTAAAATGTGTGTGTGCGCGCGCACGTGCATGTGCGCATGTTCAGGCTTTTTATGTATATAATATTAACAGATCAGCTGCCACAGATTCTTCAAGCAGGTCTTGGGGATTTAACAGATGTATCATAATACTAGAGATCCATATGGGCCTGCATTTTATGTCAGGAACTAAAGAAATTGCATTGTGCTGTTCCAGTTGCTGCCTGACAATGTGGTAGACCCCATGGAACTGCTGTCATACCTAGATCCACCTGACTTGGCAACTCCTCCCTCTAGTGGTGCCAGTAGCAACGGTAACAATGGCACGCCAGGCAATACCACCAGTGATGACATTCTTGCTCTTTTTGAGTGACTTTTTTAAAGCGTACAAAACTCCTGTTCCCCCAGCGTTCCTTTTATATTTTAAGTAAAGACAATGGTGAAACTGCAAACAAATGACAAAGGTATATAATGTTTTATTATGCAGTGTATGCAAGTGTAAAAGCAGATTTGTACAAAGAGTTATTATGCAGTGTTCCTCATCTCCACATATTACTTGTGGTTATCAAAGTGACTATACTGCAATCGCTGGAGTGACTATTCTAAAATGAGACTGCAGCGAGACTATTGACATATTCACCAGCGTTCCTATTGTCATAAATTATGATGGTGCGACATGCCAACACCAATGATAAAAACTGTTATCACAGTTATAGTGATATTTTAAAAACTTGTTCCTTTTACTGAAAACTATTCAAATTGAAGGTGCATATAGAAATGTTCACCAGAAGTTGAATTATTGCGCCGATGTTAGTAATAAATTTGTATTTGTGTGTGAAAGTAGAGAGAAAGTTACCGAGCATATGAATGTGGTATTAGTGTCATGGAATCTTTTTAATAGATGAATGACTGGCTGATGTCAAGAAGAGGCATGGTTTAATATGAGAATCTGTGAAATTGCAGTGTACTCTGTCTAAACAGTAGAGGCACTCATCTGTGGAAGTGAATTGGTTGTGTTCATTGTATTACTTGGAGAAAGAAAATGGTATGAATATAATATTACTTAAGGAAGGTGGAATGGATTGTGATTTTTCAAGGTGATGGTGTTTTGTGATTGTTCAATCAATGCACGCGACCAAAGCAGTAACATTTTATGTATTATGAAATGGTATAGACATATACTTGGATGTAAGCTGGATTCAGCGTAGTTTCAAGTAAGCATCCAAAATCTCAGCAACATTTCTTTTCTTCATTCTATTGAAGACTATTCATGTACAAAAATTCAAGCCAGGATATATATGCAGTCCACACAATTAATTTATGTGGAGTAATAGAGAGAGAAAACTGAACAAAGCTATGTATGTGTATTTATTGTACATATAGAAATACTATGGCAGACAGTAATTATTGGCGGCCAGTTTAGAATTAGTAATACTGTAATGATAAGTATATATTTTATCTGTCATCGGAACCAAACTTGTATAAATAACAACCATATTATCTTAGTTACACACATGCCACCGTACATACACGCAAACCTGCATGACTGAATCTAATTATGTAATGTCTCAGTGTATTACGGCTTTAAAAGTATTATTAGTGAGGTGCACAAAAACCTGTAATTATGTACGTAGATGAGCATTATACCTGCTAATAATGACATGGAGAAGGCGTGAACAAATTCCTGAATTAAGTATTTATTAATTAATTAATGAAAATTTGGGAAGAACTACATAAATAATTAACCCCTTGAATCAAGTTTTTTGTACTGTTGCGCAACATGTGATATTATGGTTGTTATATAATAATCAGTTGCCTTGAATGTACCAGTGAGTCAATCTGTTTGTTATATCAAATTCAAAACAGTATATGTTTCTGTCTCACTGACCACCTTCAAGTGTATACGTGTAATATCACAAATATATTACACTTTTGCTGAATACATAACCAAAATGGATCAATTTTTGACAGTATAGTTAAGTTTCATAAAAGTTTCCTGGTTGGTGTTGTAAAAAGTGAAGTTGTAAAAACAGATGAAATATATGTATACAAGTCATAAATGTACTGGATAGTATTTTGAGTGGTTTATTCATTTTTTTATGTGGATTTTTGGTATTATTCCTATGTACATGTGTGTAGCGTGGTTGTAGATAGGGTTACGGCTGATATTTTTAGAAGATCTCTATGTTCACATGTTTATAGCCTGTTTCCAGTGTAGCTTGTATGGGAAGTGTTAAGTGACACCCTCAGCGCACAATGCAGTCACTATACAAGCTACACTGAGAACACACTACAAACAGGTAACAATTCAGTACTATATAACACACAACACTGAATTAGTATCTAAAGATATAATTTTTACATCACTTCTACATCAAAGTTGCATGACAGTATATTTTATATTTCAGGAAATTCAGCCCACATAAAAGCAACCACAGCACATATACATCCCCTACACATTAGATACCCATATTCATAGTAAGCATACCACACACACACATATATATATATATAATCTACCAGCACCAGTAGCACATGAACAAAGTGAAACAGCATCTCCATCTCATCCACTTCTCATCGCAGGAAATCAAAAGCATACTGATCCACAATGGCATATATCCAGTACTGCAACATTGCATTACTACATATTAACATCCACACACCCATATGTAAGTAAAGAAAAACCACAGAGACCTAAAATACTACCACAAGAATAGTATTCCATAAACCTTCTTCCTATGTATTGCAGATACACATAGGCAAGTCACAAGTGAACACGGAGATCTTTGAAACATAATCAGTGGTAACGCTACCCGCATCCACGCTATGGACACATATATAGGAATAATACCAAAATCCACATAAAAATATGAATAGACCACTCAAAATACCACCCAGTATATTCACGACTTGTATATATATCTTTTATCTGTTTTTACAACTTTACAAACTGTAGATTTCACATTATACAACACCAATTAGGAAACTCTTAGGAAACCTAACTATACAGTCCAAAAGTGGATCCATTTTAAGGTACACATTCAGCAAAAGTGTAATATATTTGTGATATTACATGTATGCACCTGAAGGTAGTCAGCAAGACAGAAAATGTACTCTTTTCAATTTGATGTAACAAACAGATTGACACATCAGAACATCCCATGCAATCACTTATTACATAATGGCCAAAATATCATGTGTCGTATGACAGTACAGAAACCTTGACTGTATATTCACAACAGGATGCAAAGCTTAAAAATAACCCTTTGAAGCCTGAAATTAATCTAAATAATATTTTTAAAAGTAAGTTCCTACCTCGCAGAAAATGCACTGCATCTTCATTACAAAGACCAATTTGTTAATACTGTTTAGGAAATAATATTTATTCTTAAAATTATACAAAAGACATAAATACACTGTTTGGACAAAATGAAGAGTTTTGAATGCTAGAGATGGTGGTATATATAGTAACCACTGTACTTTAAAGGGTTAACTTAAAAATGTTTTAATATTCTGGATATTTGTTACATTTAATATGTCTGAACATATCCAGTTTGAAGTTTACAGGAACTTGGCTGGTTTCATAATGGGAATAGGATAATAATTATTGATGCATCAAGCTGGGTACCTACAACTGAATCTCTTTAAAAAGGGGGCAGAGATGCTGGAAGTAATGGCAATGCTCGTCTGCGTATTGCAAAAACGCAATAGTAGAAAGCACTGCATACGTGGTGGCGACATTTGGCAATCTATTGTGAAAACACACACACTTATTAATTGTATGTATTTCCCATCATCCCCTATGACAAGTAGTATTTCAGTATTCTTGACATATTGTAGTCTTCTTTGAGCCAGTAGGACATGTATTAGTGTTTGTACAAGGGGAAGTGAACAGAAGCACAGTACAAACAAATGTTATCTGTAAAAATATTGATTGCCAGGCAGTGGTATTCATTTTTAATGTGGCATGGTACCAACCCTGCTGCCAGATGTAGTGTTAAAGTCTAGAGTTCACATTGTTTTGATTTGTAAAATATGAATTTGCATATGTAACAGATTTTAATTGGCTTGAAGTGTTAATGAATATCAATTTTAAATTGCTGTAGGAATTAATATAGGAAGGAGGAAGTGGAAGTGTAAAAACTTCTATGACAGTAATTTGTTATCACTGGGAACTTTAGATATTTTGAAACTGACATCTGGTTGCAGAATTGTAGTGCTTAACAAATTAACAAGAAGAGTGATAAATTTTGGTATGGTATCATGTCTGATAGATAATTTCTTATTTGAATTCTTCACTATTTCTGTTAATTTTATGAAAGTATTTTGTTTCTTGATTAGTCTGTTGCGCTGTACATGAGAGAGGCCATTGTAATCCATGGTAATGCAAGTGAATTTCCACTGCAGAAACCTGACATGATCCATGGCATAAATTGCAAGAAGATCAAAGTCTGGTTGAGGATAGATATGTAAGACATGTTTGGTAGCTGGGGACTCATGTCAGTGTGCAAGTATGGCTGTGTTCTTGAACTAAATACAATCAAAATATCATAACTTCTTTATATGGTATGTAGTGTTATTTATGTAAAATTGAATTGAAAACTATAAATTTGGGCAATAAAAAACATAGTAGATTTGACCTCTTTGGCCTGTTTGTTATCTATGGAGTAACTTAGCTTTAAAATGCTGAATTTGAATGGAGGAACAACAGAGCTTTAATAAAAGTGTAGGTGGGTTGGCTGAAATTAAATTTTATTTCTTAAGTGACTGTTGTTGATTCTGATGTAATCTTTACTGATGTTATACACACTCATTGCACCCGTTTGCATGGTCATTGTAAAAGAGCAGTAAGACCATGCTCTGAGAGAAACTAGTTCTAAAACATATATTCCAATTCTGTTGAAAAATGATCTGAGGATAGAGATGTTTCTGGTTCCTGACACGAAACATTTCAGTGATTGTTAGGTCAAAATTAACTGCCCTGCAATTTTGATTTTCTACTGCCCGTAGAATGTGATGCTTGTATGTATGTGCATGCGCATGTGTGTGGTGGTTGTTTTGTATTACAATTTGAACGTATACATTTGTACTCAATTATGAAACTTGATTGCATTTTGGCAGTGGTACAGTATAGTTTGTGTAAAACATCTTTTAGGGTATGTCATACCTTGTGTAGGCAATTGTGCAGAAGAAAAGTCCTGTATGTTCAATGAGATCTCGAGTATGGTGATTTTGGTTCCCATCATATGTTGAAAATATCATCTAGTAACTTTCAAATGATGGATGACATAATTATCTTTGTCATTTTCTGGCAATGACACTCCATCAGAGATGTTTTAAACATAATATACTTATTTTTTACTTTTGAGTCCTCAGTTTATGTACATTTGAAAATAAAATATTTTTGGACTAATGTTTATTTGTACTTTTTATAATATTTGATGGTGGATCATGTCAAGGTAAATGGCCTGGAATGATACAAATTTTGAAATACTGTAATTCTAAAAGCAGAATATTTAAACTAAATCAAAGTTTATTATTTAACAGAACATTAAAACTTAGTCATGTTGTCAAATTTAAAAGAAATCAAGAGTTTTTGAAGCAGAATACACAGTTTGTGCCCTGTTTAATACCAAATTCACTGCCGCTAAATGTTTTTCCAAGCAAGCTACAATTTACATGTTTCGGCTGTTTCCGAATACATATCAGACAACAGAAACCTCTTTCTGCATTATTTCAAGGAAACGAAACATACATATAGAACTGCACGTCTTGTGCCGAGCAAAATATGCCAGGAGTATTCATGAATGCCACAGCTCTTTAATATTCGTCTTTGAAAGGACAGTTTTGGCAAACAGACCAAAATTGGTGGTATAATTTACTATGTAACCTAGTGGCTAGGTAGTCAATGAAATGCCAGAAGATGGTTTTTCTTAAGCTATTAAATATTGTACGTGAAGTACAGCATTTATAATGAATGACATAGACCTTTATTGAAATTAAAATCAGCAGTGACATTTGGACCAAGCTGTTTAGTTATATTCCAACAAGGCAGCTTTTTGCTTCCGAGAGTAGACCTAGCATTTCACTGTATCCGTCAATGTGTGTCATGTTTTGAGTAGTAACTAGCTAAGACTTCAGTGACAGAAAAGTTCCCTTGTATTATATAATGAAAAAAAGCCAGTTGCAGGTTAGGTTTAGATAGGTCTTCCTTTATATACAGCGCATTACAGTATATGTTTAACTCCAATATTGTAAATAGTTTCCATTGTAGATGTATTTCTGCAAAAATGTACCATTACACTTTTAAAAATGATTCATGGAATTTATGTTTCAACAGAGAGATCCCATGCAATATAACTATCCTGTCTGTTATTGATATTGCTTAGAAATTTTGAAAAATGTTTAATTATCCTACCTTCTGTAAATTTTTATTTACCTATCCAAATATCCAAAGTAAAATCAACATTGCTATGGCTCATCCAAAGTTAAGGATAGCTTATATATGTTGGCATATAGGCTTTTGTTGCTGCTGGACCCATCTGTGTGAAATTAGATGTTTTACTTCTGTTTTCTTACTTTGGGCTGTAATGTAATTACATTTTGTCTGAAAGATGGCAGGGAAACCAGTTTATATGCTACTCGGATAAATATTACATATTTTGCTTTAAAATATAAAAATAGATTCTTTTTGTAGATTATCATTGCCAAGCACAACAGCCTCCCTCTATTGCTCCATTTTCCTATGTGCTCTAGCTTCCAAAAAATGTAACAGTTGTAATGTTTCTGTTTTGTTGTGATGGTAAGTGTGTGTTACTAGAATGGTTAATGGTGCTTTTTTAAAGTCTACAAGTGGCTGCAAGTAAAAAACTGACAACCTTCTGTGTTTAACTATGTTAAAGTTGTGACATACTTTTAGGTGTGACTGTAGACAGGTTTGGATTGATGACTGGATATATTGGACTCTTTGGTACAGTTCATGACTACACCTTACAGTTCACTACAGTTCACTACAGTTCACACACACACACACGTGAACGCGCACACACACACACACTCCCACACTCCCACACTCACTCTTCACAGCTGTTGCTTTGTAGTGGCTTCCAGTGACATATGTTCTCCTTTCTCTGGGTTCGTTAACTGTCCCCATCTCAGCTATCAGCTTCTAACAGCAAGAGCTCACAACACTGAACCCCAGAAGTCCTCTGACTGCATCTTCTAACTTGTCCTGCTTATAAGATCTTAGCATGGGCTGCTTAAAAACATGGTTCCTCTGTTGCAGTGCAGTTGTTGCTTAGTGATGGCATGGTATTCCACTGTTACATGTACAGCCATCAGCATGGACTGTGCAGAAAACACCATTCCTCTGTTGTTTACGGGCTGCTGCCTAATAATGGCTGGCTGTTGTGACTCCACAATTCTTGCTTTGAGTGAATATGCCATGGTACCAAGAAAAATGTGAGTTAGATTTTAGGTGGAACTGATGAAGCCAAAGTCATTTCAGGAGTTTAATTTTTTTTTGAAGGGATAGCAGAGTGTGAAGGAAAGCATTGTATTTAAGCTCTTTATGTAAGAGAAAATATATGCTTCAGGTTGGCAATAAGGTTATAAACAATTTTTTAAAATGTAATTTCATATTGTCTTTATGTTTAACTTACAGCATATGCTGTATTCAGAAGACTGGCCTTTCACTATGAATTATAACGTTGTTTCCATATGGGAAAGAGTCTCTTCCTAACATTGGATAAGCCATGCAGTATTTTTCCTCTTTTTTTTCTTTATTTTCTTTCTTTCTTTTCTTTCTTTTTTTTTTTTTTTGTGGATGTGAATGGAACCAGGGACCACTGTGGTTCAGATTAAGTACATGTATGTGGCTGCTGTCATCACCTTGTAATCAGGAAGAAATGAAATCCTACGCTGAGGGTACTTGCACCTCGGGAATGGATCTTTAACTTCTGCTAGCCATGCTGAGCTCGGAAAGACCGACGGAAGCATGATAGGGTATGAATACAAAGATGCGATCTCCAGTTTGCAATTAGCAGGCTTGCTTATAACAGGATGCATTAATTGTGGTTTTGCTTTGAATTGGGCTTCATGTGCAGTATTGCAGATACAAATTTATTGTTGTAAAGCCAATCCCATGACACTATATAAAGAGTCAAAAATTATTTTGACTTATATTTCCTCAAATATCTCCATATTAAATATTGTTAATGATCTTAATGAGAACCATTTTGTGTGTCATAAATTTGTTGTGCTATGAAGTACCGTTTAGAAAATGGATTTCACTGTTTGATTCCTCTGTGCAAAAGCCTCTGACCTCTGTGTTTAGCCCACATTTGAAGGGTGTTTCAGAGAAGTTAAAATATATAGGGAATTGATACATCAGGATGATCTTAAAACTGAACACACTTTTGGGTTTGCTCATGAAAACCAGCCAGAAAGAGGTTCGCAAGAGACAGTACAGTGCAACTACAGTATTTCCTGTGAGTGTGGCGGAAGCTACATTGGTAAAATGGAGACCTCTAGCCATGCTGCTTCCTGAACACAGGCACAGTCTCCAACAGGGTCTTGGGTCTTCTAGAAAAATAGAAGTTAGCTCAACATGCTTATGAAAAGGGTCATAGAGTAGGCTGGGTTGATGCTAGGATTTTGGAAGTAACGGCAGGTACAGAAAATACAAGGAATTGGCCCAAATGGCATGCTTAACCAATCCAATCAGCCAACCCAGTTTGGACATTTCCCCAATCTGGATCCCCCTCATCAGCAGTGAGGTTTCTAACTCAGAGAACTGTATGACATGATGGATCCTTCATGGGTTTCCATAAGGTTTCAGCCTCAAGTGTTCAGGTTTTACTCCAAAGATGGTGCTATTGGTAGATAACTACATATCTTCATGGATTATTTCCATTTCTTTGCATTTGTGCTCATGCACTTGGTTTTATTAGCTAGGTTTGTAGCACAGATTTATACCTCCATTTCTTTTCTATCCTAGTAACGCGCATGTGCGTGCTCTATCATAATTGTATTATTTTTGTGTTATCTCCTGCTGAATTAGGCTGGTCTCAGGTGATTAAATAGCTCTTTGAATCTGAAGGGTTGTCCAGTGGTTGAGGTTAGCTCTTTCTAAGAGACCTGACTGAGTAGATATCTTCACCCCCCCCCACACACACACACACTTGAAGATGGAAACATATGTGGTTTCTGAAAGGTTGTGTTTTCAATTTTAGAACACTGGATGATGAAAACAGTCCAAAAATCCAATAATTCTGAGTGTTAATTTAAATATGTTCTGTGGTTTTATTTTGGTGATGTAATGCATGGATGGGGTACACAGTAGTGTAGTGGTTAAGGTACTATGCTACAAGCCGGAAGGTCGCAGGTTGAAGACCCAATGAGGTCATTGGATATTTTTTCAATTGACCTAATCCTTCTGGCCGCACTAGGCCCTGGGGTTTACTCAGCCTCTAACAGAAATGAGTACCAGGAATTAATTAAATAATTTTCCTGGGGAGTGAAGCGTGGCTGGCGTGTAAGGCTGACAACCTTACCGCCATCTTTGAGCTGATTGTCAAGGTAATGTGGGACCCTTAACGTCTCACAACCCTATGGGCCTTCACGGCCTGTTACAGGGATAGCTTTACTTTTTTTTTTACTTACTTAATGCGTGGACAGACCAAGTGGTTTGGTGTGGCAGTCCTAGAAATGAATTTGAATCTTGGCCAGGGCGTTGATTGCTCTGACTGACGCTTTGCCATGATTACTTACGTATTTTCAATTCATCAGTCTGCTATTCAAGTCTGTTTAGTCTAGGTACAAACTTCCATAAAATGACTCCCCAAAGAAAACTTGGACAGATGGACATAACCTCATAATATGTACATGCCTTGCACTTTATGCAAGGAATATCAGAAAGGCGTAACATTCAAAGCAAGGAATGTAAAAGTAAAACCATAAATACAGAACAAGAATATATGCTCTACGGAGAGCCCTGTCCTCTGATATATAATGATGTGTACTCTGTTAGATGTCAACCAGTGTTTTGGAGGACCATGTCATAGGTTGCTCTGCTTCTTACCTGCTTTGTGCAGGTATCTTGCTTGGTTTATTCTTTGACCTTGAAGATGGAGGTGACATGTTCCTCCAAAATGTTTAAACGATGGTTGACTTTCAAGGGACTACATGGAGTTATATACCAGAAGATAGAACTCTTCATAACCACTGTTGTGAGAACCTCAAATCCTACATACTTTATACGTTTTAACACATTTGACAATTTAGTGTTTTGGTTATATGATACAGCTGTGTACAAGGTGTGAAGCATTTTACAAAAATGGAATACATGGAAAGATCTTTGTCACCAGATAATTTAGAATTAAATTGGTATTTGAAATTTCTTCAAATTTTAAGTTCCTGTCTTGGTGCGATACCATGTAGTTTGGTAAATAGGTACCAACTTTTGAGAGGAATATTGATAGCTGTTAACAATATTACGTGGTATTACATCACAGAAGACACTAATACTCATTATTATTGTGAGAACCTAAAATTTCATTAAAGTTTTTCAGAAGTGACTGCGAGGTTCTTAAAAAGGGCCCCTGTCCATGTAGTTATTTAGGAGATGATATGACAAAACTGAATTTGCAGCTAAAACAAACTTTTAACTGCTGGACCAAGCTGATTCCAATGGTGTTTCATTTTCATTTCTGAAAATAAACTGTAAAAAATGGTCTCATGCACATTTCTATTACACTCCTCAAGACTCCTGCTCTTTCTGAACTACTGTAACTTATGCACAGCATCTAAGTAGTGGCATCTATGCAGGCAGCTCTGACTAAAGTGCACTATTGTATGGCCAATAGAATGTATGAAAACAGATCTCCACTTGTCTTTGTTACCAAATAACAGAAATAACAGAACAAGTGTGTAGATCATATTTTGTCTGGTATTCACTGCCAGGGTTGTCCTGCACCAAAGTTTTGATGGGAAGTTACTTGGAAGAATGAGTAGGGGATTGGAAAATAGAATTAAGATAAAAATCAAGAAATGTACAAGATTTAAGATTTCCACTGTGGTGAAGAGGGAGCCGGGATAGTGGAGTTGGTATAGCAACTGGCTACAGGCTGGATGGCTGAAGAGTCAAAGTTTGAGTCCTGGTAAGGTCAAGAATTTTCTCCCTTCCATGTTGTCCAGATCAGCTTTGGGGTCCACCCAACTTTCTATCCAAAGGGCACCAGGGGTGAAGTGTCCAGGGCGTGAAGCTGACCACTCACCTCCAGCTAGTGCCGAGGTCAAGAAAATGTGAGCTATACATCCACTCCCCATATGCCTTCATGATGTAGTGCTTAATTAGTTAAGCACAGTAACAACTTTATCGTGGTGAAGATTTTTATTGTGATTTTATTGATTAGGGATTAATCTGACAGGTGGGTACCAACATTTTGGAGGAATATATTACATACATTCTTGGGGTAAAAGTGAGAAACAAGGAAATAGTTTGCTAGGATGAGAGGTGGATGGAAAGTACATCATGATGATGATGATGACGATGATGCTGAAGCTGATGATGATGATGATGATGATGATGATGACCGTGCAACCTTTAGTTCCTGGAAGTGCAGTGTTAGTTATGTAAATTATTCCCTTGTGAATGTTCATGTAGGGGAGAAGTTCCAGAGCACCTGGTTTGAGGATTTTCATTCACATATAACAATTCTCATTTCAGAACAGATGACCAGTCACTGTTTTAATAAAGTAGATTCTAAAGGGTTCTGACGATGGTGGATGACACACAGAATTACTGGGGTTTTGGGATTTTTCCATCATCCAGAATTCTAGGTAATAGAAGACACAACGTTTTGGAAACTGGATCTGTTTCGGCCTTCAGGTGAGAAAGGAAGACACCTACTCAGTTCGACCCCTTAGAAAGAGCTAATTTCAATCACTGGACCAGTCATTGCTTCGGTATATGTTCATAGGATCATGTATTTAGTTGAGGGTTGTTTTGAATTGAATAAATTCTCCAATCAGAAAGGGGCCAGAGAATGTGGAATGTGTTCCACTCTGTCTGTTCTGCCTGATGTCTTGAACAGCCACGTACATGGGTTCTACTGTAATGTGCATACATCTTCCAGTTTTGTTCCTGGCTTCATTGTGTGTGTGTGTGTGTCTAGTTTGATTCTGCCATCAGTATCCCAGAATATAGCAATAATTCAAGATGTTGAAAATTAATTGTTCTTCCAAATGTGGTATTTAATCAGATTGCGTTATGGTGTAGTATATAATGATTTGCAAGTCATTAGTGAATTATATTTTTGTGTCATTTTATCTTGGACTTAAGCATGTGTGGCAATTAAATTTCAAAGTACAGAACTTTCTTTGGTGGGTTTAGAATGGACTCATCTGCAGTCCTTTAATATAGCGGGAATTGAGACCGTACACTCTTTGACAAGATGAAAAAATTTTTGGTCTTTTGCATACAGTAATGGCTCAAATGGAAAGTGGTTGTTCAAAAAAGCATGCGTTTTGTGAACGTATTCTTACTATAAAATTTAATCAGACCCTTCACCTATAATAGTTCATGCATTAATATACACAGGCAGTGTAGTTTACTAACATTCTTAATATAATACTTGATACATTAGACAGTGTGGTTCATATGTAAGTAACTAGTTAACTCATGGAGTAGAGTCGTTTTTCAGAAGTAACCCGTCACTTGAGAATTTCTCAGTATCTTATTGAATCTGAAAGTTCATTGTCATGTATGATTTGAGGTTTTCAAGTGGTGGTTATGAAGAGTTTTATCCTCCAGAATAGTAGAAGTAGTTGTAGTTTGTTGAAAGATAACTGATATTTTGGAGGAACATATTACCTCTATCTTTAGGGATGAAGAATAAGCTAAGCAAGAAACCAGTATGAAGTAGGTAGCAAGAAGACTGCTTGTTACATGTTCCTCTGAAACACTGGTTGACATTCAACAGACTACAGGTTTTGTATCCCAGAATATAGAACTAGTTCTTTACCATGTTTGTAAGATCTCACCAAAGGTCCTTATCCTGAACCAGATGAATCCATTGTATACCACTCCATCCTATTTTGAATTGTACAGTACACAACACACAACGCGTAAGAAACATCCGACCACAAGCCTACACAACCTCAAGTTGACATTTCCCATCATCGGGACGAATCAACAAGAAGGAGCCGAACATTTTACTTTAAATGTTTTAAACTTTTAAATATTTTAACATTGACGGCTCAATTTGAGGGCAATTTTTCAGATGGAATGCAAGAGTTGTACGTGCATTCAATGCTACTAGAAAGTGTTGTGCTTTTACACTTCGACACCTGTAACAGCGTCCACGCAGCTTACATACTGTGTACATTAAACAACGCCAGTGTTTTCATGTGTTTGTAATACGTGCCTCTGATGATGGTTTCTCTTGAACCGAAACATGTAAGGCAAGTAAGATAAATAAGTGATCTAAAAACATTGTTACACTCGACAGATTTTTCATTGACAATTTGTCACTCCATCCTATTTATCTGAAATTGATTTTAATATTATCCTCCCACTTATGTCTAGGTCTTCCTAGTAATTTAATTTGGTCTGGCTTTCCCAGCACAGTCCTGTTCCTCTTCTCTCCTATGTGTGCAATATGCCTTGCCAATAACATCTTCCATGACTAGGTCATGGAGAAGAGTACAAGTTAAAGTTCTTTACGCAGTTTTGTTCAGCCTCATATTATTTCATACCACTTTGCTCCAGATATTCTCCTCAGCACTCTGTTCTCAAATAGCTACAGTCTGTGTTATTCCCTTAACGTCAGCAACAAAGTTTCACCTGCACAGAGCTACAGGAAAATTTGTGTTAATTTTGTGTTTTTAGACAGCAGACAAGAAGACAAAAGGTTCTGAACTGAATGGTTACAGACCTTACACACTTTTAATCTGTTTTTAATTTCTTCACAAATGGAATTTTGGTTAGTTACTGTCGTTCCAAAACATGTGAAATTTGTATTTTTGGAGGTTCTACTAGCTGTCCTTAGGCAATTATTTTGCCCTGCATTCTGGTGAGAAGACATTAACAAATACCCAGTTTTCTCTGTCTTCACTTCTAGATCAATCTCTTTACTCTACTCTGCTCTATTGTAGTATCATAAGTTACAGCCTGTGTTCGTAACATTCCTAAAATCCAGGAAAATAAGTAAACATTCTGTTCATTTATTATACACTGTAGTATACACCATTGTTTGAGCTGCCACCTTGAAAGCACATGTTGAACTATTTGTCGCTCGAATGGGAAGTTTCTGGCATTGGTACCCATGTTCTGAGAGTGGTTTCATGCGTTGTAGGCACTGTTTGAAATATGTCCGCGCATTCGCAGTAGTATAAAAAAGATTGGCAAGAGTCGAAAAGGAACGGAATCCGGAAGTAGAGGTCACCTAGTGTTGTAGGTGTTGTGGTTGAGATAGTTGCTTGGGTCGGCGTTCGTGTAATAGCTTAACCTCGTTAGTGTCATTTAGTTTGTACTTGCTTAACATTTATGATTGTTTGGTTACGCTTGAATAGTTTAGTATTAGAAATAAAAGTAAAATAAGCAACGTATTTAGTAATACTTTATTGTAGAATCGGCAAATTTGTATGTTTTAAGTGTCCAGAACTGATCAGTTATTTCGGAGAAAATGTTTCATCTTAAATCCATAACGAAAAGTGTAGTATCCCTGAAGCACAGTTGCTCTCAATTGGATGTGAACACATTCCTTAAAGTATGTTCTACAGCTGTCCATCTCCGAAATTCAAGATCGTATGCGGATCATCAGATCCCCGACAGGTTGAAAGATGTTCCTAGTGCTGCGAATCCACGATTTTTCGATATGGTGGAATATTTTTTCCATCGGGCATGTCAGATAGCAGAAGACAAATTGGTTGAAGACATGAAGGTTCACAAGATGTCAGTGGAGGATAGAAAGAAGAAAGTCAAAGGCATTTTGATGTTGATGCAAGGTTGTGACCATATAATTGAAGTGTCTTTTCCTGTAAGACGAGATAATGGAGATTATGAAATGATTACGGGATACCGGGCACAGCATAGCACACACAGGACACCATGTAAAGGAGGTAATTATGCAGTATTTTTCACATGATTGGAAATTTACCATAATAGGCGAATTTGTGTGTTTGAAAGCGGTAGTGGTCCTCATTTGACATCCGTTCTGTCTTGTATTGCAGGCACACTTTCTAGTAAATGTAGGAGTTTTAAGCCAGATTGGTTCTTTGCTTAACTTAACTGGAGTTCAGCTAAATACATTACTTTCGTGTGACAGTAGGTGTGCTTTGCTGTCGGGAACATCATTTGGGTTTCTTTGAGATTATTCTTATTATGCTGATTGTGTTTTTTGTGTCCCTAGCAACTCTCATGTAAAGAACATTATTCTGGCCTTAGAATTTGTTGATTGACGTTTCCAGTATACATAACTTTGCCACAGATTTGTTTGGACATTGCAGTTTCTACATCCTCTACTTTTATGAAGTTAAAATTCTGTTATGTCATATGTATAAATATGTGTGTGTATTTATAGCCATTACTTTCAAAACAAGTGAAGGCTAATTCACATGAAATGTCATGTTTAGCTATGATGATCATCTAATCATTTGTGCAGGAAGGCAGTTATTTTGAAACAGAAGAAAGCAGTCTTCTGGGATGTGGCACCGTGTAGATGTGGTGTTAACCGACGTTTTGGAGGAACGTATCGCCTTCATCTCATGGTCTCTTCACTTGCTGATTTCTTATTTTGCCTTCTACCCTGAAGATGGAGGCCATACGTTCCTCCGAAACGTTGGTTAACACCACATCTACATGGTGCCACATCACAGAAGACTGTTTTCTTCATAGTCACCGCCGTGAAAGCCTCAAATCTTACATTTTGAAACAGGTTTGTTATATAACTTTTAGAAACATTATTTTGCAGTTTCCAGAACCTGATAGCAGGTTTATGAAACCCTATTTTAATGTTATACCAGGATCACTATTTAGTTCTGTGGGGAATTTTTGCTTTCGAGATGTGAAGTTGGGAGTTGGGCAGCAGTGTGTTGCATGTAAACCTACTGCACAGTTGGAATAATTTATTGATACTTTTGGCATTTACTAGAATTTTTAGGAGGGTGTTATGAAAGGAATGTGTCATCAGAAACCACAAAATTGTTTCAGTGTCTTCATCATTTTCAAAATATGTCTGTATGTGATAATGCACGTCTTCCAGGACTGCTTGGAGCTGATGGGCACCAGTTCTGTAACATGCTTCAGAAAATGTAGTCTTTTGATCTCTGAGTAATTACATCTTGACACAGCTCCCATTTTCCATATAGTTTCATGGATGGAGCTCAAGAACAGACAGCTTTATTTTATCTGTTTTGTATTGTTGAGCTTCGGAGTGATGAATTTACTTTCTGTGGAAAGGGGTGGGGGGATGCTCCCTTTGCTCCAGGTTTATTCAAAACATTCTGGAATACAAGTTGAGTGAAATATAATTGTATGCTAACCGGTTGTAAGTCGCACTTCAAAAATTCGCACAGCCTCCACGTTGCTGACGACATGGAATTAAAGGTAGTGACATAGTATGGCGTCCATTGTTATGTTTATATAGGCTTTCATTATGTTGTGGCAGCTTCTTCAGTTATAAATGGGGGAACAGCAGGACGTACAGACCCTAATAGGGACATTTGATGATGATTTCACTAGAACGTGGAACATAGTTCAGAGCAGACATTTGACCATTAAGCCCAGCATACTTCTTTGTGTAGATTCCAAGTTGAAAGTGTGTTCCTCGTTGGAGGGTGAACAACCGCAGTTCAGTATCCGACATCATACACAGTTCGTTGGCCGTGTGTGGGTAATGTTGAAGTGCTGATATCAGGGACAGAGACTAAACGACGTACTTAAGGAAATACGAATAAGCCACCGATAAAGTGTTATCTACTGCATTACATTTTTAACGAAACTGTTGGAGATATATAATAATAATAATAATAACTTTGTAACACTGTACATAGAGTTTTTTCCACTTCCTTTTATAGAATACCAGATAATATTTCTTACATTGGATTTGCGGTTATCTCAGCGGTGACTATGAAAAGTACTGCCTTCTGGGACATAATGCCGTGTAGTCCGTAGAAGTCAACAGACGTTTCGGAGGAACGCATTGCCTCAGTCTTCCGGAGTAAGAGTAAGACAAACTTGCTGCCTGCGTATTGCAGGATTTGTTCTTGTCTTATTTTTGGACCCTGAAAAGATGTGGTCAGTGCTTTCGTCCGTAACGTAACTGGACTTCTGTTGGATTACACGGCATTGTATCCCGGAAGTAGCACTCTGAAGCATTAGCCATGGTTACAGTAGGTTCAACGGTTCAGCCTTCGCGGTTAGGTTTAGTGCCATCGAGCCTTATCGAACAAGAGCCTGGAAATTTTAAATCATTAAGTATGCAACTAGCTGATGAAACCATCAGTGGCCATTCAGTCTTTCGGGTGTGCTGCTGAACAAATGATAATTCTAGTTTCATCAAGACCGAAAAGGTGTATGTCGTACCGAAATGCAGAGGTCCCACTCACGTTGTTTGCAGCGCGGGTTCAGATTAAGGGTGCAAGTGTCCGAGTACTTCGGTTTCCCCTGCCAATCTTCATTCCACCAAATTCTCCATCATAATTACCCAGGGCAGGTACAATAGGCCAAACAGTGGCCGACGTGCCAAGTGGACCCAGCTGGACTCAACCCCCCCAATATGCGAATAAAAAAAATAAAGGGCGTAAGTGAGCGCTCAACAGCGAAGACTTATTATTATTATTATTATTATTATTATTATTATCATTATTATTATTATTATTATTAATCATGACATATAGATAGGAAACAAATGTTTTGAAAATGTGACACAGTTCAGATATTTGGGAACAACGATAACAGATCGAAACCTGATTCAGGAGGAAATTAAGAGGCGATTGAACTAGGGTAATGCTTGCTACCATTCAGTCCAGAACCT